GGGGCTACATACGTTAGCCTATTGGCTACTGTTTTCCATAATGGATATGATAATTCAATTCAATATTTGTGTGGTAGATAATAGCCATGTCGTCAATATTAATAATACAATAATAATCAAACAATAATATCAAGCTACCATAGATGAATCTGCCAATTTGAAAAATCGATTTGCATTATAGCCTGAGGCAAGACACTTTCACCAAAAATAAATAACAAACATGACTATCAGCCTGCAGACATAGGATAGTTATCCTGACTGATTATTTTGTCCGTCTAATCATGTATTATTTACTTGCAAGAATGTAGCCCCTACCAAACTCAGTAATCAGTATAATTTCACGTCTCGAGGTGGCGCGAGCTGCCCGCCCCGGCTCTACGGGGATGCTTGAGTGTGTTAAGCGCCCTCAGAAGATAGCAATGCAGTCTACCTACACTGGATGCAGCGAGGGACGAAGCAACACAACACATTACCAACAGTAAACTGATCACGCGTGCGCTCTGTTTCTGACGCACTTCACATTTGGTTTTACTCGCTGCTTCAGCCATGTAAACAAATAAAAAAACGCTCGTTGGGCTCTTGCGTTGGAATTTGAGGAAGTGGGCGAAGTGACGTATGCCGTAAAGCAGTCGAATTTTGTAGTTCTATTTGTGCTCGGGTTCCTACCCGCTCCCCGAAGTTACAGAGTGCCAGTGAAAGCGATACGGACCACGTCAGACTATGGCAGACCTGTCATTCAACCTATTGTAAGTCGATGTACCATCTCAAGAGTTTTGGAAAAATATTATAAAGGTTGAAAAAACGACAGTGCTAGCTACTTATTTACTTATTTTGAACCAAAAAGAGGGTTATATTGAACATTTTTCAGGCCATCATTGTTAGATAACAAGCTCATTTATGGATTTAATAAGCATCTTAACAGTCTCCAAGGCAATGGTATCACACACACACACACACACACACACACAGAGAGCAGGTAAACACTTTTTCCAACTCTCCTCCTCCACACGTCCATCAACAAAATGAGTTCAGACAGGCAGGCAACAGATGAGACTGTCAGGATTTGCTAAATGGCCAAAGCCAGTGCACAGGCCCGGATGCGCACAACACATTTGTCAGAAGTGATAATGTGCAGGTATGCAAAAGTAATGCTAATCATGTTATCTGCTACACAGTGGAGAAACTGTCATGTGGCTGAACAGTGATAAAGTAGCAGTACAGACTCCGCATTTACATTCAAACCACAGAGGTATAAATGTGAGGGGGGAAAAAATCCTGATTCAACAAAATCTTTCACCTACTTTACAGCGGAAACATGGACATTCATTTCAGTTATCAGCAGAGTCAGCTAATGCCCGACTCAAACTGTGGAGATACTGCAAAACCAGAGACCCTTAAGCCGGAAGGCACACACTGATGGCCTTGCCCATCACTTAACACTGAACTATGATGATAGACACGTGCCTGACACTGGCTTTAGTCATGAAATCTCGTGTGTTGCTGTGTAGTTCACTCAATGAGTTTTAAACTTGCTCGGTTTGATTATTTGTGCTTGTTGGAATCAATTAAAATGAGAGTGGCAATTAAATTCCATTTATTTTTAATTTCTCAGTATAAACTGAACTATGCACAGCATATGGAGTATTTCCATTAATGTTAAATAATATCAAGAATAGTATTAACCATATTTGAAATTTCACCAACCATTTATTCTAATTGATATGTTAAATAATTATTTTTTATATGTTTCTAAGTGTCTAATGCTCAACAAGGCAGCATTATTTGATAAAAAGATACAGTATTATTGTGAAGTATTATTATAATTTGAAATACCCATTTTCGGTTTGAATGCTTTTTAAAATATAATTTATTCCTGCGATGCAAAGCTGAATTTTGAGCAACCTCACTCCAGTCACAGGAACATAATTTATTTAATAATTTATATCTTTTGTAACAATGTAAAAGTATTCAATGCATCCTGGCTGAATAAAAGTTTTAATTTCTTTGAAATAAAATCCAGGATCCAATTATGTCCAGGAACATACACTCTAAACAATGCTGGGTTGTTGTAGCCCTCAAACCGTATTCACTTTATAGCCCTTAATCCTGTAATTGTGGACAAATGTGGGTTCAGAGGACTCAGGTGTGATCCTAATTTTTATTTATTATAAAAATTATATCACTGTCTTCGATAAAGTTTTGTCTATCCATTTATGGTATTTTTTTATTTTGGGGTTATTTTTGAATTTATTTACTTCAAAAAGTACCATATTTTATATGTAAATTGTGCTCATTTTTTAAACTACATTTAAATATCATTCCAATAAGTTCTTAGAGCTAAAACCTAAAGATGAAGTGACTTTGCTGTCACCTGGTGTCTTATTTTGGCTTATTTTAGAATGCTCTAAATTACAGTTTTTCCAATTCATTTTTATGGGTGCCCATTTTTGACCCAAATACAAAATTAAGGAGTTTTTTTTCTTCACCCACGTAACATTTTAACAAAAAAATTTGTGTTCAGGAGGCAAACTTAGGAAAAGTAGCCAAGTTTTGTACCGCTCAGATCAAGGGAAGTATTTTTTAAAAATAAATCAAAACTATTTTGCCCACATTTGTCCAGAATACGGTTTTAGGGTTCACCCAAAATTGGGTAAAATATGGACAAACCTAAATGTTGGGTTAAAAATGTCATTTAAAACTTCAACTTTCAACTGTACATTTTTTTAAATAACATTTTTAAACCAACATTTGGGTTTGTCCATATTTGTTTGTCCACACCCCAAAATCATGTTGACAATTCAATTCAAATTCCAACTCATTGATTGGCTCATTCATAAATTGTGAATTTCGCTCAAACATGAGCCAAATTATATTTTGAAATAAACTGGACAAGGAAGGACTCACAAAGGAAATGTATTAAATAATAATAATAATATCAGTACCCAAGGACGCCAAGGTGTGCAAGCTTTAAAGTTCACTTACAGTGAGTGTGTCATAGACTACATCTCTAAATCTCACAGTATGAGTCAGTGAGTATGCAGGCAACCAACATACGAAAACAGGAAGTCCAGCGGGGCGTTCTGGCAGGATGAGGAAGAGGCCATCAGGTGGAGGTGACTGTGCTGATGTGGAAGAGGAAGGTCTGGGACTGGGGAAAAGAGCACACAAAGGATGCAGAACACATTTATGAGCCAATGTTCTGTTGCATTTACTTTCAGACCTCTATTCATAAAAGCTGACATATTAAATTAAAACATTTGCTACTATATGCAACTACATCCTGTGGATCTACAAATCTCACTCATTTGAAAAGCAATGCAGTTTTGCAAACTGTATAGAGGAAGACAAAAAAATAGATAAAGGAAAGGAAAAAAGCAGCATTTACATTATTTATTGGATATGGAAGTGAAAAACTGAATTTGGGTCATGGATTTAGAACATATGCAAAAGCAAACCACCAGCTTGCATTCAGACGCTGTGAATGTAACTTCGGCCCCAGGATTCCTGGCAGCGGTTCTGGGGTCACACAGCCAAGAGGTTTCTTCAGTTCTCTCAGTGGGACCGCAGAGGTTCGTAGATGAGAACAACTCATCTCTTCTGGGAATCTGACAATATTTTATTAACCACAAATAACATGCATAACCATTTCGTTACAAATACATCAGAAGAAATCCAAAATTATGTATATTGACTGTAATTTTTTATATCTTTGCTAGATAAAAGAATGATTAGGCTATAAAACACAATGATTACCAATTTGACGTGAAAACATCAAGCAAATGATTCAAGTTCAATATGTTCATATACTGTAGTAACCTGCGCCTAGCAGAACATCCCTGATGATCCTGGAGCAAACTTTCAATTAACCAATCAGATTTGAGTTTACTTAGTCCGGGTTGAGTTTACAACCAGGGTTAGTTACTTCAACATATATCATTTCAATCTAAGTTTATGGATAACTTATTAGGTTAGGACTACCTTTTCGGAGCAGTTGGGAACCTCACTGTTAGATTTGCAAGATCTCGTTTACCAATAGCGCCCTCTTCTGGTTACAGCTGTCAATGCAGCTCTCGGCAGCAAGAACGAAGAGAATTCTTTCTGAAAATGCCATTTTAATTAGGAATTAATACTTTTAATTACTTGGTAACAATAAAAGTCTTTACTGACACTTAAACTTAGGATAAAATGCTGTTCTTTTTAATTTTCTGTTTAGAATCCTGAAAACAAATGTTTCTCTACAAAAAAATATTAATATTTTCAACAATGATTCTTGAGCAGCAAATCAGCATATCGATGATTTCTGGATGATCACGTGACTGAAGACTGGAGTAATGATGCAGTTTTGCCATCACTATAATCCAAAATATATTAAAATAGAAAACGGTCATGATAAAATGCAATAATTTTTCACAATGTTTGATGTTGTTAGTGTAATTTTGAACAAATAAATGCAGCCTAGGTGAGCAAGATTCAAAAACATTTAAAAAAATCTTATTGACCCTTACAGTACAAAGTACAACTTGAATCTTTTTCTGAGTCAATTTGTTCGTTTCGTTCATGAATGAATCAACTCAGAAAAAGATTCGTTCATTTTGATGAACGATTTTGAACAGAACGTGCGTCACAGAACAGAGCATGACGACCATTTGTGCTTATAAAACTTATACTTTGTTATTTATTTATTAAATGAGCGATCGTTTCGCTTGATAAGACCCTTATTCATCATCTGGAATCGTTTAAAGCCCTTTGAACAGTTTGCAGTTTGCACTGAAACCGTCTTATGGACCTTAAACCGTTTGGTTCCCAATGAAGTCCATTATATGGAGAAAAATCCTGGAATGTTTATCAAAAACCTTAATTTCTTTTCGACTGAAGAAAGAAAGACAAGGACATCTTGGATGACATGGGGGTGAGTAAATTATCAGCAAAAGTCTTTCAGTGTTGCATTCAAACTGAAATAAAGATAAATAAAAGACACACAGATCACAACGAAACGCATGTTGTGTCAAAGTTTTCTTTTAATTCAACTCTTAACTATTGCATAGACATGTTTCATAACTACTGAATCAGCTGGTAAAACCCAATACAGAAACATGGCTTCCCAGGTAAACATTACATTATGTATAAGAAAGTAGAAAAAGCCCTTCACTTTACCTCGGAAATACATTATTATCCCAATGTTATGGAAGCTTGTTTCCACCACAGAATAAAAACAAAACAAAACAAAACGTAATTCGGATTTATCTCCCAATTCTGACTATTCTTCTCGCAATTGCGAGGTATAAACTTAAAATTCGGAGAAATAAAGTCGCAATTGCGAGATATAAAGTCTTAGTTCAAATTCTTCTCCCAATTCTGACACTTTCATGCGAGTTTTTCCCACACAAGCTTCCGGAACACGTTGGTATGTTTTCAGATTAAAAAAAAAAAAAGCTCTTAAATATCTAAACTAGAGTTCTACAGGAGGACAGCATCATGACAAGATACAAATAAAGACGTTTGACAAAAAAATCTTGAAAGATTTAAATTATTGTAAAGGACTGATTTAGGAAACAAATATTTTTTTTTTCTCAAAAAGCAACAGTGTTGCAGACAACGGCCGGGTCATTCCCTTCTCTTATCTACTCAGACGAAGCTTCGCTAAAACACTAAACAGCCCATATTATTCCTCAGAAACTCCTTTGAATTTTGATATAAACAAACCCAGGCTTCCTCAATTCAAAAAGCTGACCAGTTTACATCAGCGTCACATGAAATAATAAAACTATAGAAGCAAAAATATCAAAAAGAAGAAAGTCAAAAGATATTAAAAAGCCTGGCACAGTTTTGGTTCAGCTGAAATGGGTCAGTAACGTCACATCTGGTGCTGCAGGATCTGTATATAACGCCTGCTTATCGACATACTTGCACAGATGTTTTACCCACACCAGCACAGCGTGAGGAACTGTGGGATACACACACAACCTAAATCCACATACACACCCTGATCCACAGAGCGAAGTAGGCCGACTCGCATGTGAACCAAACGAAACTACTCCAATCTAGCCTTCAGTCTTGACATTGCTCAACCGCAGCCATCTTTACCCAGACTCCACCCTGAGTGACCCAACCCGGCTAATAACACAGGCAGAAAACACATCATTAAGTGCTGAGAAGAACGAACCTCACCGAAGTATGTCATTCCTATTGATATATATACACACAGCTGAACTGAAAGTACACAATTCTCATTATAAAAGGTCAAAAAAACAGATTTCCCCGTGTTTTATACTAGTATTTTAAAAGTAGCTCTTTCCATTTCAATTCAAACTCTCTATTCACTAAAGTGCTCTCACATTCAACTAACGATGAAAACCATAAACGCAACAGTATAGCAATGCAAGAGTGAGATACCAAATATAAAGCTGTTTAGGCCTTGCAGAGCACTAACAAGACAAAGATCTACATATCACTAGTTTCTCGAAAAGAAAAAGATGCAACAAAACGTTGATCCTAAACAGCGTGATGTTTCAATGTTTACAGGGGCTAATAAAGTGAAAAGAGTGTGTGTGTGTGTGGCCTGTTTTGTTCCAGTTGTCCTGCTGGTCGGTAACACTGTCACTGAAGGGGGGTTTGCTCTCAGTATTTGGGTACTTTGGTGTAATCCTCCTGTTGGACACTCTTGCACAGGCACATGGACAGGATCATCCCTAAAAGCTGGAGTAAGCAGAATAGACAGAGATCACAATCTGGTCCCCCACCTCTCTCATACACACGTGTACAAGCTAATTTGTGCTCAAAGTTTAAGTTTTATAAGCTCAAATGAACGAATCTTTTCCAGAGTCAACTCGTTCATTTGTTTGTTGGATGAACCAGATGACACGAAAAAAGATTCGTTCATTTTGGTGAACAAGTTCGAACGGGAGAGTCACGAACGCACATCACAGAACAGAGCAAGGCGAGCATTTGAGCTTATAAAACTTAAACTTTGTTATTAATTTATTAAATGAGAGCTCGTTTCGCTTGTTAAGACCCTTATTTATCGTCTGGAATCGTTTAAAGCCCTTTGAACAGTTTGCAGTTTGCACTGAAAGTGTCTTTTGGACCTTGAACCGTTTGGTTCCCATTGAAGTCCATTATATGGAGAAAAATCCTGGAATGTTTTCATCAAAAACCTTAATTTCTTTTCAACTGAAGAAAGAAAGACATGGACATCTTGGATGACATGGGGGTGAGTAAATTATCAGCAAAAGTTTTTTTTAACCCTCAGGTGCTCTTTGTTTCGGAGTCACACTTGTTATCCTCCCGGTCAAATTTCCTCCATCCCAGTAAAACCAATGCAATTTATTTTTGTTCTATAATATTTATTCTTTGTAATTTAGTATTTTGAGACAATTTGATTGAATTTATGAATATTTATGCTATATTTATGGTCTATTTTGCCATGGAAAAATATACATATTTTTCTATATATATATTATTTTTTTCAAAAAAATTATTAATGTAGTATTTTAGTTTAATATAGAGTCTAGGCCTTCAGAAAAAAAAAAAATTGAAAAAAAATGAGCACCATCTGGTTACAGTATAGAGAAAAAGCGTAGAATCATGGTGTAACCACTAGATGGCATGTACAGCTCTCTATGGAGAAGCATGTGAATTCCCCAGATGTTTATGAACACTTTTTTTTTTTTTTTTTTTTTGTGAATTTGAATATATAGTTGAAACAATCTCAAAAAATATTTTTATTTAAAAAAATGTAAAAAATAAATAAATACAAATTTGTGAATTTTTGTGTTTTTGTCAATTTCCCATTCATTTCCTATGGGGGTCATTTTTGACCAAAGACCACAAGTGTGACTATTTTTTTAAGACCACTTAGCATGCTCAATTTTTTTTGTGTGTACACATACATAATGCCATAAAAGTCACATTCCAATGAAGTTGTGATTTTTAAAAATTCAAAACATACTTTTTGTAATCAAAATGTATTGGTGTGTATGTGTATAAAAGTGTGTTTGTATGTGTGTGTGGGTGGGTGGGTTTGTCTGTTTTGCACTCTAGATGTTGTAGACTGTCACCCCTTTCCTGCGGTGTACTTTTTTTTAGAATTGCGGTCGATTTGTAGATGCACGTACTAAAATTCAGAGAATTTTATTTGTCAATTTCCCATTAATTTCCTATGGGTCGGTCATTTTTGACCAAAGACCACAAATGTGACGATTTTTTTACGACCACTTAGCTTGCTCGGATCATGACCTCAATTTTTTTTGTATTCACATACATAATGCCATAAAAGTCACCAAGTTTCATAACATTCTGATGAAGCCGTGATTTTTAGAAATTCAAAACAGAAAATGTTTCGGTCAGAAATGACCGAAGAGCACCTGAGGGTTAAAAGTGAACAACTCCTGTAATGAAAGACACAGAATAATCATGAATTGGGAATGCATTTCACAAGATTTCACGCTTTCTAGATTTACCTCAATCACTGCTATTCCGACACAGACTCCCAGAATTACTCCACTGTTCCTCAGGAGCCAGTCCTCCACACTAGATACACAACCCTGCCAACAGGGAATGGAGACAAATGAAATAAGCAGAACAACTGGGAAAAGAGTGAAACGAGATATGCATGGTTTGGAAATGATCCTAAACAGACAGAGCTCTGCAAAGATAACACCAGGAGAGACAAACTCAACATGCCAAACTCAAGCTAGGCCAACAGTCAGTGGTCTCGTTTACAGGAAACTACATTTTGATTTACAGAAAACACTTTGTTCGATTATTCAAACAACTGGACTTTGTATATGCTACTAATATGTATCCAAATGAATTCATGTTGGCATAATGGAAAACATTCAGAATTCACATTTAAATGCAAGTATATGAGGTCTGAAAACCAGCCTGGTCTTCGAGACCTAATGAGAAGAAGCACAACCTGTACCAGAGTCATGAATCAATTCATGTTTAATAAAAGTGCCAAATAGGAACTGAATGGGGGCTCGAAAATATTAGCATGGACTGAATGGTTAGCAGGGTAATGTCCAGTTTACAAAGGAAACCCATTTATTCCATTAATAGCAAAAGGAAGGGAGAGAATGCGGCACAGATGGACTGGCAGTATGAAACCCAAACGCCAGTTTTGAGAGAGCCTTAGCTATTGGGTTCAACACCAGAATCATGAAAGTTTACATTGGATTTGTCAATGTGTGCAATAAAGCTGTACGTCTGTACCGTAGTGAAGACGGGCCAATCAGAGGACAGATGCGGACACAGGCCTGTTTCCCTCATATCCGTGCCACTGAGGGATCCATTTCTGCAGGAACATGGATACCAGTTCTGAGAATTGTTCGGACTCTTCATCAACACGTTCTCCGTCCAGTTAGATGGTCCAGTCCAACCACAGCACTTCATCTGTGAGAGACAGAAAAAAAGCAGGAAAGAAATTTTACACTACAGTAACAACAACACCACAAATGGTATAAAAAAAACCTTAAATGAAAATAACCTTAAAAGGACTAGTTCACTTTGCTTTTTTTTTTTTTACTTTTTTAAACTTTATAAAAACTTTTGCTGATAATTTACATCCAAGACGTCCACGTCTTTCTTTCTTCAGTCGAAAAGAAATTAAGGTTTTTGATGAAAACATTCCAGGATTTTCTCCATATAATGAACTTCATTGGGAACCAAATGGTTTCAGTGCAGCTTCAAAGGGCGAAAATGAACAAATCTTTTCAAGTCATTTGGTTAATTCAACGAACGAAATGACTCGAAAAAGGATTCGTACATTTTGATGAACGAGTTCTAACAGGAAAGTCACGAACGCGCATCACAGAACAGAGCAAGGTGAGCATTTGTGCTTATAAAACTTAAACTTTTTTTATTTATTTTTGAAATGAGCGATCGTTTTGCTAGATAAGACCCTTATTCATCGTCTGGTGTCGTTTAAAGCCCTTTGAAGCTGCACTGAAACTCTCATTTGGACTTGAACCGTTTGGTTCCCATTGAAGTCCATTATATGGAGAAAATCCTGGAATGTTTTCATCAAAAGCCTTAATTTCTTTTCGACTGAAGAAAGAAAGTGATAGGATATCTTGGATGACATGGTTGTGAGTAAATTATCAGCAAAAGTTTTTTTAAACAGAGAGATAAAAAAGCCACATTAAAATCCTAGTGACTTAATCTTGTGCTTTTAAGATATTAAAGATATATTACTGTAAACTTCTCTGTAGGGGAATGTTGGAAAAAATAACAGTGATGAAGGAAATGGCAGACAATAGCTGAAGGAATACCGTGCACTCACCGTTCTCTGGAGATAATCCCAGGCATGCTCAGTTGTCTTGTTTTCCCCGGTGTAGTTCACCATAATTTTGTTCACAATAGTGGACATCTCTTGTCTCAGCTAAAAATAAGCACATGGAGAAACGTTAGGATGGATCTGCGATTCAAACTTTCCTGTGAACAGGATGACACCCATGAGAATAACATGATATTTCAACAATCAACATTCATTCCAACTGTTGGGTTCCAGAAGTAAAAACGTATTATTAATGAACTTATGAACTTATTATTCCTTCTTTGTTTTTAATTTGATTGTGCTGTTCGCAATGCCTCATGGGATTGTAATTTTTTCCCTTAAAGTACACACAGTGTCTTTTTCATCCAATTTATATATGAAGAGTTCAGATGCAAAAGCCTCTAAATGCCATTTGAAATTTTCTTCTTTAATGATGATTTTTATCAAACTTGTATATTTAAGTTCAGTAATTTCACTTAAATAACAATTAATAGGTAATTATCATTGCCATTTAAGTGAAATCACTGAACTTAAATATACAAACTTGATAAAAATGATCATTCTAGAAGAAAATTTCAAATGGCACTTAGAGGCTTTAGCATCTGAACTCTTCATATATATATATATATATATATATATATATATACTGTTCCTTTTGATACATTTTATGCATCTTTGCTGAATAAAAGTTCTCTTACAGCCCAAACTTTTGTAAAATTTTTGAACATCATACGTTACATACGTATAATATACACATTAAGTGATAAAACTGACATAATTTTAAAAACCACCCTTTACTATTTCAACAATGTATACCAGGGCTGCACGATATTGGTAAAAAAAAAATGGCATTGCGATATTTTATATTTCCGCGATAAATATTGCGTTAATAGAAGAATTTCCCCAGATGACTTGAATAGCTCTATTTGGAAAGAATGAATCATTCTAGAATGACTGGGGCGGTTTTGTCATGGAGTAAAACCGCATAGAAACTAATATTAATTGAATGTTTACTAATGTCGTTAACAGGTTATGTTAACAGGATGCTGCACATTAGTGGTGGTTGAGGAGATTCCCCTTCTATTTAAAGCACTTTGAGTGCAGAGAAAGCGCTATATAAATGTAATGAATTATTATTATTAACGTAGTTAACTAGACTTTGACACAATCCTTGCGATGTGACTATCGTGGTGTTTAGTCGATGTTTAATTGATGCATCGTGCAGCCCTAATGCATACATTCACGTCGAAAACCTTTCAACACCAAATCACAGTTGAAGTGAACTTTATATTGTGTAGAGCTTGTTTGAAGTTGGTGTGTGTGTAGGCGTGGTGGTGCAAAACGCTATGAGGGGGCTACAGCAACGATCATCTAAAAGAGAAAAAACTCTGCTCATGCAGATAGTGTGTGTGAGACGCTGTGAACCTCGCCCTGTTCTGGGAACACACTCGCCATGCCCTGTGGTGAAGTATACAGAGAAAACAGAGCATGCCCAAGCACAGACTCCAATTACCTATAGCTAAAAGTCAAATATCTATGCATGTCTAATAACATGCACACAGAAACACAGTGAGTTAAGTTGAGCATTAGGCATGAGCTTATGGCTGTGGTTAGGTCTGGTGCTACTTAACTAAAACTGATTTAAGAAAGCCTGACTAAGCACAAGTTGCATTAGAGGATGTATATCTCCGTCCTAACACTATAGAACGGCTGATAAGATGAAGTGCAGCTCCTGTTGTTTATTAATCATCTCAAAGCCATTTGGTGTGAAATGTTTGTGTGTTTCCCGTTCCTGGAGAGGGCGCTGTTGTCGAAAAGTCTCACACGAGAGAGTGAGTAAAGTCAGTGGAATCACCCACATCTAATCAAACACGCCTCCTGTTTTCGTTACGCACGGAAACATCTCGTCAAGCCACACACACCATTTAATGTGAAAGGCGAATATTGTGGAGGGGAAAGTGATTTATTCCACTTCCTAATTCGTTAGAATGGAGGAAGTGGAACTATAGTAGTAAACGGTCAAAAGATTTCCACAGCTACTTAATTTCAAATCCCAGTTTCTAAACCATCTGTTAACTTTCCTGTTGTCACCCAACACCACGGGTTAAGAGATTACAGTATAGTTCCCAGCTGACTAGAAAAAGTGTTGCAAGCTTGTGACGCCATTGCAGGAAACGTGCTAACATCAGAAACCCCATCAAACACATATTCATTCTGTTAGGTAATTTAGGACAAATGTAAGAAATATGTAATAATTAACACTGTTCCAGATTAACTAAATCAGAAGTTTGCACATCAGACTAGTGTTGAAGAAGCTACTTTTGAATGCTAATCATAATTTAAACTACAGTAAAGCCACTTCTTTTAAAACGTTAGCTACACCACAGGCTATTTACAAAGTATAGCTAATACACTAAAGCTATTTAAGGTACTAAAATCTTTTTAAACATAACTATCAGATTACAATTTTTTTAAAGCAAAATAGTGTGTAGTATATCTCAATTAGATAATTAGATCAATTATATATATATATATATATATATATATATATATATATATATATATATATATATTAGGGCTGTGTAAAAATTAATTGCGATTAATCGCATCCAAAATAAAAGTCTGTGTTTACATAATATTTTTGTGTGTGCTGTATATAATTATTTTGTACTTATAAATACACACACATGCATGTATACATTTACGAAAATGTGTTATTCATATATAAAATATTTATATTTATATAATATAGATTTTGTATATATATACATATATATATATATATATATATATATATACAGAATTTAAGCGCAAATAATTCTTAAATATATACATGCATGCATATGTATTTATATATACACAACATAATTATACACAGCACACACAAATATATTATGTAAACATTATATTCATTTATAAACAGTATATTCATTATTACTTAATCATTTATTGACATATACATTTATTCTGTGTGCTTCGGTGCACGAGGCCATTTGTCTCTTTCTCTGGTCTCAGGAGAAAGGTTCATGGATCCTAAAGGCGTCGTGAACACATGTCCAACACATATGATACTTCTCTGTACAGATGGTCAAGCTATATTGAGCATTGCTATATTGAACTTTAATTGTTGTATTAAAATGCATTCTTTCTATTATATTTGCTTCCTGAGGAGCAAACGTTATGTTTTTCTCCCAAACTAGTGAATGTTTTACCATTATGTTTTGATAATAAGCCGCTCAGACTCTCTTCAGCCTTGATGGGAGCTCTTATTTGCTAGTGTCCTATGTAAATGCAGTAACAGTGAAAATAATAGGGAAATAGGGATTTGGTTTATGTTTGAGTGTTAAAGGAACACTCCGACTTTTTGGGACTTTAGCCTATTCACCTTACCCCCCAGAGTTAGATAAGTCCATACAAACCTTTTTCATCTCCGTGCGTGCTATAAGTCTGTTTGACGCACCCACCGCTAGCCTAGCTTAGCACAAAGACTGGATGTGACTGGTTGCAGCTTTCATACTAATCCAAATGAGTGGCAAAATAACGCAAACGTTTTCCTATTTACATGTTGTGATTTGTATAGTCACATAATGTACAAATAACAAAGTCAAATGAGACACAGACATCTTTTAACCGTATAAAACCTGGGAACTATTCTCTGAAGGCGAAGCACTGCTACTTTGACGGCGTAGTAACCGCATCACCGGAGACACGCCGTGGTGAGGAGCGGAGAGTTCGCTCGGTGTTTGGGTAATAGAGTCAGCAATTTATAAATAGTAAAAGCGTAGTTTAGAGTCATGGGTTTTCGCTCTATTGTAAATAGCTGCGACAGTAAACAGGGGAGGTAACCATGTTTCACAGAATTCCAACTAAAAACGCTGACTGGATGAAGAAATGGCTAACTTACTCTGGATGTTTATCCAAACACACCTAAGATTATCAAGGGACATTATGTTTGCTCGGTACATTTCAATGAGGACGACTATTTTGAAAAAATGGAATTTGCCACACGGACCATAATGTGCTGAAGGATACGGCCATCCCATCGATAGCACAGACAGGACAAGTGGATCACCTGCGGCTGAGGTAAGTGTTCCGTTATGTTTTTAGATGACCTACTGTAACAGTGCCTTTAGCCAGATCTAATGTAACGTTAGTGACACTATTATATGATTAGGGTATGAATATGTTTTTATCTTGATGCGGTGCGGACGCGCTTGGGGAAAAAAAAACGAGCGCGTTCACCGTGTTGAACTTGCACCCTGCGCGCGGCGCGCCTAGTAGCCTAAATTCGAAATAACCATGGAAATAACGAACTTGAGCGTGCAAAAGGGTACGATAGGCTGTGAGTTCATTGTGCAAAAACAATTTGTGCTATTACTTTCCCCTTATTCTATCCTATAGTAATGCAATACTGTATATTATATAGGCTACTGTTGAATACATTTGGTTCAGCGAATAAATTGCATTTAAAATATATTGAGTCCTGTATAATAATTATTTATTCATGTGATATTTATAAATCTGGGTGCGTTTTTGGTTGGAAATCAATGAAACATGGTACTGTATTACCTGGTCTCCCCTGTTTATTGTCACAGCTCATACAATAAAGCAAACACCCATGATAAACTATATTTCTATCTAACGTTAGTAATTGCTGACTCTTTATTCCAACGCTGAGCGAAGCGAACTCTCTGCTCCTCGTCACGGTGCGTCTCAGGTAATGGTTATCACTCTGCCCAAGTAGCAGTGCTTCCCCTTCAGAAAATATAGTATTTATACGGTCAAAAGATGTCTGTTTCTCATATGGCCTTGATATTTGCACACTCTGTGACTATACAAACCACAACATGTAAATAGGAAAACGTTTGCGTTATTTTGTCACTCATTTGGATTAGTATGAAAGCTGCAACCATTCACATCCAGTCTTTGTGCTAAGCTAGGCTAGCGGTGGGTGCGTCAAACAGACTTATAGCACGCACGGAGATGAAAAAGGTTTGTATGGACTTATCTAACTCTGGGGGGTAAGGTGAATAGGCTAAAGTCCCAAAAAGTCGGAGTGTTCCTTTAAAACATAAAGGGGTCATTGAAGCCAACAGTTTAAGGCAACATTTCTTTGTTAAAGTCTTACTCCAGTTAGACTAAAGTGTTAGTCTTCTTGGTTGCAGGTTAAGGAACCACTGCCATTATTGGAGATTGAATGAGTTGTTGTTCTGGACGTACTGGCACCAGCAACCCAAATCTGTGACCTGGAAGGTCATGACGTGCCTCTGAATGTCAGATACATCATCGATGGAGATATGCTTCGTCTATCTGTATATGTGTGGAAAATTACTGCGTTTATCTATTTCTTAGCCAATGAGAATCATTCAATGTGTAAGCAATGATGTAGCTTAGACCTTGAGAATGGTATAACTGCTGTGATTGTTGTAACTGTAAGGGGGCGGCCTACGAACTCCTGAGTGAGTCTTGAAGCTGACTTCTGCTGACGAAACTGCAAACTATGTTCAGTAAACTTTTCTTTATTTTTTTATAATTCTGACTCCGGGTCTTCATTCTTCATGTCTGGTTCTGGGTCCTTTAACTGTTAACGCCTAACAATATATATATATATATATATATATATATACACACACACACAAACATTAATCAACATTTAAGTGGATCAAAACCTTTCAAAACTTTTTTGATCCACTTCAAATGTTGACTACTGTATGTATGCATGCATGCATGCATGTGTATACTGGTATATATAGAGAGATATAGATATAGATATTTATTTATATTTGGGGTGTAATAGTTCACAAAATTCAGTTTCGGTTCAATTAATAAAGAAGCGCAAAGAAGAACAAAAAATTACTAAAACTAAAATGAAAATTCTAAATATTAATAAAAAAACTATCTATACACTATTATTTTTAACTATACTATATAGAAATAATCCTAATTTAACCAATTTTAGGGAAAGTAACTTTTAAAAGTAATGTGTTATAATATTGCGGTACTCCCTAAAAAGTAACTAATTGTGTTAGTTACTTTTTATAGAAAGTAATGCGTTTCTTTTGCGTCGTGTTTTTTTCATCTGGGCAGGGTTTGCTTGTATCTTAATAACAAAAAATGGTATGGTAACCTACCAGGTCTCGCTGGAAGTAGATGAGGACAGCGGCTGTCACCTGGGCGATGAGGATGAGGAGGAGACAGGTGAAGTACTGCAAACAGAGGACAGAAAAGGCCATTTACAATTACTGGACACTCAAACAAAAGCTAGAACCTTTGAACACTTTCTGGCTAGTTTTTCTCAAGCTTTTGATATCTTAGTCATTAGATTTCAGATAAACACTTCCATATGTTTTTTTGGATGAATGAACAAACTTACAACAACGCATGATCACATAAAGCACATGACCGCTAGAAAGCGGTTTTTTTTTTCTAAATGGGTCAAACAGTTTAACAAAGACCTTTGCTGACCGCTAAGCTTATCGAGCGATCTTGTGGGTACTAATATGGCCCCCAGTTCTTCCATGGACATCCCCTAAATCTGACTGGCTTATCCCTGTCACTCCAGCTCAGTAAAGCCAGCAGCATTAACCCCAGAGAGCCATTTGAAGCTAAATCATGCTAATGGGGAAGGGTTTTACGAAGCTCCCTCAACAGACGGTCTGGGCACGCATAAGTCTGGCCTTGTTGTGACTGTGATTAGCAACTCTATGCATGGCAGCTTCTGAATGCTCCAGTGCTCAATGAAGTTATTAAAGCTATTCACAGACTGTACAATTTTATCTTATAATTGATGTATAACGGATTTAAATATAGTTATATTACTGTATAATATACTTAATGCAAATTTTGCTATATCATTTGTATAAATAGCCCAGAACAGAATGAGCTGGCTCGAGGAGACAGCAGATATTTATATATATATATATATATATTATATATATATATATATATATATATATATATATATATATATATATATATATATATATTTATATATATATATATATGTGATGCTATCTGGGAAAACCCACCACATGGTGAAATTTGACATATTACAGGTTGAGACCAATTTAAAGCTGGGTTCAAGCCCTTTCCAAATCTGTTTTTATTTATTGTATCGTTTGTCTGTAACAAAAGTTGTGCTTATCTGAAGTCGGCTGATCGCTATGATTTTCAGAAACTGAATTTTGAGAAAAACCGTCCTGCTAGCGGGACGTCTGGCGCTCCCTTTTTATTGCCTTTTTTTCATATCACATGTTTTTAGTAATCATCATTGATTAGGTATCATTCGAAAGCTTACAAACTCAAAATTCATCCTGTGAAAACCGTTTTGAACTTGGCCGATTGAGAGGCGAGCAAGGTCTTTTAAGCGAGCAGCTTCAGACTTTGTTGTTCTCTTGTGCTCCGCGTCACACCACACGATAACACTGGAAAAAAACAAATGAATAAAAACTTGCGTGCCGTTGTAGTTTACTTAGGACTGGCGGACACAGGACTTTATTCTGATATGTGTTTTATTTTGATAGGCGAAACTGTCTTTGTAGTGTTAAGAGAAGGAGAGCTAAATGGGTGATTTTGTTATCTTTTTCCCCTCTTCTGTGCCGTGCGTGTTCTTAAAGAGAAAGGCGTTTTATTTTTAAGGCAATTGGCAGTATACATAGTTCCCACAGGCGAATTAATGTCACATGACCTCCCTGGAGACGCCATCTTTGAGGGCAAAACCGCTGTGTTTACCATAGGCGTTTACAAAGTTTTATCAGAGAATGTCGTTTTACAAACAAATATTTATTTCTGTTTATCTTGTTATGCAAATCATGAAAAGACAAAGTGAAATACATTATAACAAGACAGAGAGAGGTACAATGCGAACATTTCATTCATAAATGGTGTGGATCCGTATGCAGTAACGAAGGAAGCACTGAGCACCGATTATGCAACTTTGCCTCAGATACAGTATTTTCATGTGTACCATTATCTGGTATTGGTGAGGAGTTTTTACACATGTGAGCATTTCTGAGTCTGGAAAACACTGGAGGTGTACGATCAGATTGACGTGGGGTTGGTTTGGTGACGTTTGCTCAAGTGCAATCGATGGAAAAGTAACTTAGCCATCATAGCAAAGTAGCATGATGCTAATCTGTCTATTAAAAAGCCATAGCCTGCACAAGTTAATTCCCATGTTCCCCTTAAAACAGTCACCGGTGCTTTCTGTAATATGCATGTACTTGCGGGCGTCATGGTTCGGTGCATGAATATAAAAATAAATAACTCGCGTGCAATTTAAATAATGTAACGCGGAACTACATAATACGCGGGATCTTTAGGGACATAATCTGAGATTGCAATGTTGGAATGTGAGATCAAACAGTGGAAACAATGTTGTTTTGTATGTTTTTAATAACTCGTCATTTTGTTCATACAGGACATTATTTAAACTGCAATGTGTTAACTTATATTTGTTTATTCTCGCAATAAAACACAACATTGTGCTTTTGTCAAACAAATTCTTGCGTGTTTTGAGCGAGTTTCTTTTCTGTTTATGCTCGCCAGCCATAATCTCCATCGTTGTTCGGACAAAAGCTTCATCCATACGGAGTCTAATGACGGGTATAGTGTAAAATCCCGATTTAACTGAACCTCCGGCACGATTTTAACATCCATTGACCCAGCAGGAGATGACCATTTTCACTTTATAGCACGAAATTCATTTCACTTCGTTCAAGTCGTATTGCTTCTTCTAATGTTTTGCCCTCAGCAATGGCGCCGGGTCGGCAAATGCCCGTATGTTGTGACGTCATGTGGGAACTATGTATATTCTGATTTACAGGAAAACAAAAGTAGATATCAATAAATCCCTCTGTATTTTTTTCTCATCTAATATGTGAACACGATGAAAAAATAATTGTAAACCTGGCTTTATCCAACACTCAGATTTCGTTTTTTTTTTTTTAGTGCATATTTAATTAGATTGCATATTCAAACATTATATTACAGAAAACTTGTAATATATTTTTCTCTCATCTTAATGTAGGTAATCAATTGGGAAAGTTTCACGGTGATATCTGCTAGTTAAAAAATTACCCTATTCACCTGTAGTGTCTCGCCTTAAATTAAACCACAATTGGCTGGCTCTGATGTTGTCAGCAGTTATTTATATATAAACATACAAATTAATCATATCAAATGAAATAATAATAAAAGACTATAACTCTCTATAATTACTGACCAGTCCAAGAAGGAATCGGATCTCATAAATGGCACCGATGCAGCCCAGGAAACCCATGATCATGGTAAGGGATCCAATCCCAATCAAGATGTAAGCGCCAACTTTCAGCGTTGTGGAGGACTCATCTGCATATAAACACACAGGACACCAGTCACACACTCTGACAAAATTATTTCATGATGGAAAAAGAACATTTAGAATTAAGATCACTTCTCTTATGCGGTTATTATTTGATTTTACACCATAAACCTCACTAGCACATAACAGCCATCTACTATTGTAACTGTCATGATGCGCAGATGTGTGTTTTGCTACCGAGTTGAAAGTGAAACTGAGTTTCGAGGGTGGAGGTATGGCAGATTTGAGACCGTTTCGGCAGCTACACATCAGTCTTGCTTTCAAGGTTCAGATGACACAAAAATAACTGTTGGTGCAGTAAGCAAAAATATCACCACACTTCACCATATCAACATTTTTAAACAATGGATGCAAGTCTCATTGTGACCTAGAAGTATGCAAACTGAATTTTGTTTGTCTGATAACCATTTTATACACTTATCTTAATTCATTTTACTAACGAGAGAGAGAAAATAAACGGCCGAACCAATTCACTATGGGTATGGTGAACACAGCAAACCTTCGACGCTTCTACAGTGGCTCGGCATATGAAAGTCATTTAAAATGATTGCGTGGAAAATCCTGCATTTTCTCTCAGTCTATTATTACATTTGGCGCTGAGCTGTGGTGCTCATTTGAGTAGCAGGTTGTTCTTACTATCCTTAGCTACATACACATCAGTAGCTTTAGAGTAATTAAAGACATGAGAGTGGGAAATAATGTCCCTCCTGCAATTCAAAGCAGAAACGAGTTTAGCTGTTCGGGAGGATGGCAGAGACATGTGGCTTGTGGCTCTGAAAAACCATCAGGTCTTCTGTAACCACGTGATCCTGCTTGTGTTTCACCACAAAAACATGTTTCACTAGCAGGCGAGTAGAATACAGAGCTGTCAATTTAACATTTTGACTTAGCGTATTTAATTGTATCTATAAAAAAGATGAAAAAAAAATACTCTTTTTGTAATGTCATTCGTTGTATGTAATTTTTTGAGCTTAAAAATACCATAATATGTTTGCAGAGATTTAGGAAACATGCTATTTTCAAATACAAAAAACAATGCTGAAGCTATTTATTCTACTTTGAAATGTGCGTTCTGTGTCTGGGTGTCTGTATGATCCCGCCCACTGCCAATTTACCCAATAGTATGGTCTGGGTTGCCAGGTTTTCAGAAAACGCTGCGTATTGCATCCATGAAAGCAAGCAAATGATCTGGGATTGCAGACTCTACCCGACCTAAAAAAGCCTTGGCAATAAAGATATTGCAAATGTATTCAATAGCTGACTAACTTATAGTACAAGGCTTTGTCCATTGTCAATTTCCATCAATCTGGCAACCCGTGCCGTGAAAGCGTCGAGTCTGAGGAGGAGGGGAAACAACACTAAAATATTTATAATTTGGCCTTTAGTACCCATTTCAACCACTATCTGTCAATATAACAAACTGCACCTTTCATTTATTTTTCTTTATTCTTAAAATAATTAATCGGCATATCATGCAATTATTGTTTTGAACTTTCTTCCAATCTTCAGTGGTAATTAATTTATCCCTGACTTCTTCCATGTATCCATCCGAAACTATGAGGTTATGTTGCCCTTGTGTGACCTTGAAAGCAAAACTGTGACATCATAACTATTTTGTTTTATAAACTGAGAATAATAAATGGTCGGTAGATTTCGTCTCAACTCAAGCAAGAATTCAGCGTCGCAATTCTAAACACATGTTTCCTGCCTAGCGCATAACATCTGTGTGAGGGTAAATTTCAAGTTTCCAAGACCTCAGTGTGTGCTTGCTCATAGTTGCTGTGATGATCTCAAGGTACTATGGCAAACACCTCAGTATATCAGCGGAAATTCCCTCCGAGAAGCATTTTCCACTGGAAAAACAATCTTGGATGCGTCCGAGCATCATTTATATGCTATGAATGGAATATATAACAAAATGTTATACAAAAGATTAAGTATTTATTGGCATTTGGATGCATTTGATAATTGTATTAAAGAAGTAGTTCACTTTAAAAAAACTTTTGCTGATAATTTACTCACCCCCATGTCATCCAAGATGTCCATGTCATTCTTTCTTCAGTCGAAAAGAAATCTTTTGATGAAAAAGAAGGTTTTTGATGAAAACATTCCAGGATTTTTCTCCATATAATGGACTTCATTGGGGACCAAACAGTTCAAGGTCCAAAAGACAGTTTCAGTGCAAACTTCAAACTGTTGAAAGGGCTTTAAGCGATTCCAGACGATGAATAAGGGTCTTATCGAGCGAAACGATCGCTCATTTAAACAAAAAAACGTAACAAAGTTTGTTTCATAAGCTCAAATGCTCGCCTTGCACCACGTTCGGGACTCTCCTGTTCGAACTCGTTCATCAAAATGAACGAATCTTTTTCCGAGTCAATTCGTTTGTTTAGCTCGTTGAATGAACCAAATGACTCGAAAAAAGATTTTTTCATTTTGATGAACGAGTTCGAACAGGAGAGTCACGAACGAGCGTCACAGAACAGAGCAAGGCGAGCATTTGAGCTTATAAAACGTAAACTTTGTTATTTTTTTTTAAATGAGCGATCGTGTCGCTTGATAAGTTCGTTAATCGTTTAAAGGCCTTTGAATAGTTTGCAGTTTGTACTGAAAGTGTCTTTTGGACCTTGAACCGTTTGGTTCCCAATGAAGTCCATTATATGGAGAAAAATCCTGGAATGTTTTCATCAAAAACCTTAATTTATTTTCGACTGAAGAAAGAATGACATGGACATCTTGGATGACATGGGGTGAGTAAATTATCAGCAAAAGTTTTTTTAAAAGTGAACTACTCCTTTAAGGTTGTGTTCAGTTTTGGCAGGATTGCTTCGATTAAAACAAGCTTTGGAGCGATTGCTCTGTTAGATGTTTCCATTAAATAAGTGTGAACGTTGCCGTCTGAACCCTGGAAGTCGAAAGATGACACTCAGTCCACTTGCAAACAAACTCTGGTGTGGTTTAAATGAAATATGAACGCAGCAAGGACCAAAGACATGTAAACGAACCAAAAACAGGATGTGATGCCACAAGATGAAAAGAGACAGGCCCTAAAAAATACACAATGCTCAAGGACACATGTTTGCACTACGTTGCTCATTACAGTTCGGTACAGGCATCGGATCTACCGTCTCCTTGCAGCAGACCAAGAGAAACTAACTACAAATATAAACACAGCCAAACATGTACAACTTTAGGACCCTGCACACATTTAATTCACGTACCAGCATCCGAGGCTTCAAACCAAGCATCGACTCATGCTGTAACATGTTTTAGGTATTGAGTCTTGTTGTATAACTTCATTGCACAAATTAATGAGCTATTTGAAGAAGCTAAAATCTGTGAAAAATAGGGATGATAATGAAACAATTCCCCAAGACTCCCTTTTATAGCTGCGGTTGTGTGGAAGTCTATAAAAAAAAAAACCTGGGAGGAAGGGGAACAAATAAAACCGAGATCAGAGAACACACCTTCCCGTTATTGTCGAACTCAATAGGGCCTTAAACCACAGACTAACAAAGTCAACAAACAAACTCAGTTACACAGAGGACTACTGGACCATAGTAGTTCACTTTTGAAAAAAAAAAGTTTGCTGATCATTTACTCACCCCCATGTCATCCAAGATGTCCATGTCTTTCTTTCTTCAATCGAAAAGAAATTAAGGTTTTTGATGAAAACATTCCCGGATTTTCACTGGACGTTCGTGACTCTCCTATTCGAACTCGTTCATCAAAATGCACAAATTCTTTTGAGTCATTTGGTTCATTCAACGAATGATTTGTTCATTTTGATGAACAAGTTCGAACAGGAGAGTCAAGAACGCGCATCACAAGGCGACCATTTGAGCTTATAAAACGTAAACTTTTTTATTTATTTTTTAAATGAGCGATCGTTTCACTAGATCAGACACTTATTCATTGTCTGGTGTCGTTTAAAGCCCTTTGAACAGTTTGTAGTTTGAAACAGTCATTTGGACCGAAACTGAAACGGTCATTTGGACCTTGAACCGTTTGGTTCCCATTGAAGTCCATTATATGGAGAAAAATCCTGGAATGTTTTCATCAAAAACCTTAATTTCTTTTCGACTGAAGAAAGAAAGACATGGACATCTTGGATGACATGGGGGTGAGTAAATTATCAGCAAAAGTTTTTTTAAAGTGAACTAATACTTTAAAGTCCCCGTGAAATCAAAATTGAACCTATTTACTTTGTTAGCGCATATTACTAGTCTTGTGGTGAACAATTAATCCGTGTAAGTGAATATATATTAAAAAAATGTTTTACCGTAGTAATTTTTAATCAAAATCTGAAAAGTTACTTCCGGTCTGGAACGGTTTCTTTTTTTCTGATGACGTAGGTTTCACAGTTTGGGTGGGGAAACGCTTAACCACTCCCCTCAAACCGTTAGTTTGCTATGAGCGAGAGATGGAGAGGAGGAGCGCTAGAGTAAAACCCTGCCCTCTGTTCAATATTCCGTTTCACTTGGAAATACGTCACAGCACTGGAGAAAAATCGTTTGCAACTTCCGGTTCACGGGGACTTTAAGGGTCCCCAAGAATGAGGATATCCTAGGATATTCCCAGCTATCTCCAGAGGAACCGCTGAATCAGAAAAACAATGTTTCCAAAAATGGCCTCGATAACAGAGACTCCAGCGCGGTGAAATCTGGAGACACTGAAAAAGACAAAGTGAGTGGAAAGGATGGCGGTGTGACCAGCTTGGCAAACATTTTTGGAGCTTGTCAGCTTCACATAAATATTCCCCTGCTGTAATTTGTTTAAGCGAGCATGTGCTATATATAGAGACTTCTGTAAACCTCCGTGATCTTGACTGAGGGAACTTGGCTTGGTCGGTCTTATGAAAATATTTAATTTTAATGTCTATTTTCAAAGTTTTCTTAAGCAATGGTGTGAAAAAAATAACTTTTAGCTTAAAGGGATACCCAAAAATGAAAATTCTGTCATCGTTTACTCACCATTGCACCTTTCTTATGTGGAACACAAAATATGATATTTTGAAGAATGTTGGTAACCAAACAGGTACCCATTGACTTTAATTGTTTATACAAAAAAAAAAGAAAAGAAAACAACTTTCACAGAGAATTAAAGACACGAGGGTGAGTGAATGACGACAGCAGTTTTTTTTTTTGTTAAACTTTCCCTTTAAAAATGGAGTAAAAGGCAAAGTCCCATCAAGTCCCTTTATTTAGCTGTCATCTTAGAAATACGTTTTGGGCCGCAATTTCAGTCATGCAAGTAAAATTCCAACCACTTTAAATGGGGAAACATACATTTTTCCAAAGCTGTTTATCAAGATTGTAAAAGTTTGGAGGCATTAATAACAAATCAAGAAGATTTAAACTAGTTTTCATGTTCAACTCTCTTTCAGCATGGAGTCTTCATGGCTTTGGCTGTGCAGAATGAGGGAGTAGGAGTATGATTCACCACTAATCATGTACGTTTAAAGGAGTAGTTCACTTTAAAAAAAAAAAACTTTTGCTGATAATTTACTCACCCCCATGTCATCCAAGATGTCCATGTCTTTCTCTCTTCAGTCGAAAAGAAATTAAGGTTTTTAATGAAACATTACAGGATTTTCTCCATATAATGGACTTCAATGGGAACCAAACGGTTTAAGGTCCAAAAGAGAGTTTCAGTGCACCTTCAAAGGGCTTTAAACGACACTAGACCGTGAATAAGGGTCTTATCTAGCGAAACGATCGCTCATTTAAAAAATAAATAAAAAAGTTTAAGTTTTATAAGCACAAATGCTCGCCTTGCTCTGTTCTGTGATGAGCGTTCGTGACTCTCCTGTCACGATGAGCTTATAAAACGAAATTTTTTTTAATGAGCGATCGTTTCGCTAGATAAGACCCTTATTTATCGTCTGGTGTCGTTTAAAGCCCTTTGAAGCTGCAATTAAATGGTCATTTACATCTTGGATGACATGGGGGTGAGTAAATTATCAGCAAAAGCTTTTTTAAAAGTAAACTACTCCTTTAATCTTTAATACGTTTCATATTTAATATCTCTCTTCCCTTATTTTGCAAACCTGCGCTCTCTGTTTAAGTGAGCATCAGATGGTTAAGTTCACATGTGTGTGTGTGTGTGTGTGTGTATAAACACAGAGAGTGCAGTGTGGGAGGGGGGTTTGTAGAAAACTTGGTTAATGGCAAAAAAATGAAAAATCCCCACGCCAAGCTCACGAATAACAGCTGCTTTTGCTGTGCATTCCCATGTATATCAAATAAACTCCAGTTTGAACTCAAAAGTGGAGACAAAAATATGTGCAACCAGCGACGTATTGCTCTGACTCAATGAATACGGTTAACTGTCCGTCAGAAAATAGGACGTAAAAAGAGATGAGACACAGAGACAGAATATATACTATTACCATTAAAAAGCTCAGGGCTTTGAAAGGAGTGTCTAATCCTCACCAAAGCTGCATTTATTGGATCAAAATATTGTGAAAAATGATTACAATTTAAAATAACTGTTTTCTATTTAAATCTAATGTTTCCTTTCCAGAATTTCCTTCAAAATTCATTATAATATGCTGATTTGATGCTCAAGAAACTGCTTAATTTAGTTGTTTTTTTTAATTAAATGAATGCATCCTTGCTGAAAATGTATTTTACCAAGTATAAAAACACCTTACTGACCACATACACATGAAGTAAAAAAATTCTGATGCAATACTGTGAGAGAAATTATTTCACACAAATGCTTTCTCAGTATACGAGAAAGCATTTGTGCTTCCATTTCAAATCCGGCACTTTGCATCCCCAGGATGATATTGGTCAGAAATGGATTCAGTTAAAGGGACACGATTACATGCATCAGAACAGGAAATGATGTTACTGTTTTTTGTACTTACGCAAAACCATGATGAAACTCTGATTATCCAGCATGACCCAAAGTCCAAAGCCCATGATTACAGCTCCGAAAATCTACAGGGCAGAAGAAACATGCATGAACAAACAATGTCGCATGAGTGTTTGTCTCCTTCTGGACCCGTTTGGCTTGAGCTTGATCTTCGTTTGAACTGTGCCTGGATTGTGGATGAGAACACTGCTGCCATTAAGATACCCCAGATAATTGCTAAAGAGAGACGGCTACTCTCCACAGAACTGAGTTCTCATGCATTCCAGCCACAACGTTCAAAACTAATGGATCCAAGGTGTCCTCGAAATGAACTGTCCCCTGTATCAGTGTGGAGAGGGAAGCTGTAAAACACCAGGCTACTGTACAATAAAAGGGCCTTCAAAGACACACACACACTTTTCATTAGCCTTTGACCCATGTTTAGCTGAAGCTTGTAGAAATGCAACAGAGATTGAACTGAACTTTAACTATTTCCTAACAGGGATTTCCAAAACATCACACTGCTGGGTATTTTTGTTTTTTCACAATAATAATGCAAATACATGCAAAATATCATGCGAAAATAAATGGGAAATATTTAAAAAGCATTTTAATAAAGTACTTTACTACATGTCACATATGGACGATGGCAAAAATTGATTTTTGCAAATTAATATTTTTTTAATTTATCTTAATTTGAGTTTTAACTCAAATTAAATGAATACTTTAAAGGGAACCCCCTCATTTGGTACATTACAATAATTTTAGAGGTTAAAATTAACAAAAGAACCAAAACTACAACGGCTGTACAAGAAAACAAAAACTGCTGTTTATTTTCAGTTATAATAATTACACGCAAATAAAAACTGTAGTTTTTCTTAACTTTCGTCTGCATGACAAATTTATTCAAACTTATATATATATAATTAACAAAAAATAAGCTGCTCAAGTGTTTTTAAGCAACCAGCTGATAGCCGATATTGGAAATGATGTCTTTTTCATCAGTGCATCCCTAATAAATAAAAAGTTACAAATATTTACAAATGCTAAAACGTCTAACTTAAAACATCTTATTCTTGATTTCTTCAAAAAATTACTTTTAGTTCCAACACGGTTTGTTATTAATAATAACGTCCATAGAATGATCATTTGAGTTTTAAAAAGCTAAGTTTTGGGGTTTATGCAAAAGGCGTTTTGTGGACAGATACTTCTTTATGCATAAACATTTACATTATATTCCAGATTTCCCAAAAAGCTCCATTTTAAATTTTCACTCTCGATAGAAGACAAGAGCTGATGACAGGGAGTTATAATAATTACACTCAAATAAAAACTGTAGTTTTTTCTTAACACTCGTCTTCATGACAAATGTATTCAAACTTACATATATAATTAACAATAAATAAGCTCCTCTAGTGTTTTTAAGCAATCAGCGGATAGCCGATATTCATCAGTGCATCCCTAATAAATAAAAAGTTACAAATACTTCCAAATGATAAAAAAAGTCAAATCTTATTCATGATTTCTTAAAAAAAAAACACTGTTTGTTATTAATAACAGCGACCATAGAATGATCATTTGAGTTTTAAAAAGCCACAATTTGAAGTTTTGTGGTCAGAAATTTCTTTATGCATAAATATTTACATTTTATTCCAGATTTCCTAAAAGGCTCCATTTTAAATGTTCACTCTCAATAGAAGACCAGAGCTGATGCATGTCTCCGAGTTCCTGCGGAGACAGAATAAAGATGTAGGAGTGTGGACACTTACAAAGAAGAGGAGGTTGAACAAGAACAGGAAGTACTTGGTGGCGGCTATGCATCCTTTCCCCATGACTGCTGCTCTGTAAAAGAGGAAAAAAATCATCAAAACTCAGAGAAATGAAGAACACCAGTGCTGATGGAGACCACTTTTGGACATGACAACATTATTAAAGAGTTTCTTTCTGCACATTGTTAAAAATAAACTGTAACGTCGAATCTCTCAACGATATAAAGAGGAAACAACTGTTCTATATCACAGCTGTAATTCAGTTTTTAGTATTCTGGGGCGTTCGATTAGTTTCAGTTCCATCTATGAATGATATTAATAAAACTCTTAAGAAATTGGTGGGAAAAATATGACAGCAGTTTCTTGTTTGTGTCTGACGCGTCAGAGAATCGAACAAAGGTATACCGTAATTATACTGGTGTGCCAACTGGATAATCCACATTAAATCATCAAAAGACTTTTCTTTTTAGAAAAATAATCGATTTTATAATCTAAATAAGTATAATTTATTCTCAAGTTCAACTGGTGGGTTAAAAGGTCCAAAAGTGGGTGAGAAAAAAACACCTTTTCATATCTTTTGCTACCGATGTCAAAACTTTCATGTTCAACTTCCCGGAATTTTGTGTACAATGGTAATATACTGTGTTTTTATATTGTATTCATCATCATAGGCCCTGTTCACACCTGATTTTAAGATGCGTTTTAGTCGATCGGATCACACGTAGTAGACACATACCCATCTTGGTGTCTCTTTTGTCCACTTTTCCAATATATTTCAAATGCATGGGCCTTCTTTCAATATAATGGATGAAATAAGCTCACACAATTTACATATGAGCACAACCAGTGTGTTAGAAATCAGGAATGGCGAGTACTTTTTCCAAATTTGAGTCTCCGGCCGACTAAGTTTCAATCCCGGCGTCTGGCTTCCCATAATGTTAGTAGGCGTGTTTTGTAGAGGTTCGAACACATTCAACCACATGAGTAGTTCACACTACGAATGCAATCCCGCCGAATGTGTTTTCAACTACCAATGGAAGTGGCCGAAAGTGACAAGCTCAAAAGTTGTAGACCCCGTTTACACCTGAATATAGCGTCGTCCACTTGTGATTGGATTGACATAATACCAGGTGTAAACAGGGCCATCATAATAATACATTTTAGGGGTGTAACAATATATCGTGCCATAATATATCGCAATACAAATACGTATCGTGGATCGTCCCCCCAAAATAAAAATTACTGTGTGATAAAAAATTCAAGTTTTCTGAGTTTTAGTGTAAGTACTACATTAAACTACTATATATAATGTTGTATATAATGTATAATAAGGAAATGGGGGAATATTTGGGTCCTGATAATGCCAAATGTCTGATGTTACCAGTAAAAACTTAAGTGGCTGACATTACTTTAAATATATCTAGTCAATGAAAGTGTGCAAGCATATTCATCTACAATAACTCAGCAATTTCAGCTTCAGAATCACGAATATTGTTATTCTGGTGTCACCATTGTCCTTGGGATACAAGCACCAAGTCCAAGCCTACTCATTTAAATCCACAATGTATTATCAAAGTTAGCATTTTAATCAACAGTACATTTGTTGTTAACCTTTTACCATACGTCTTGTAGTATCGCAATAATATCGTATCGTGATGTATCGAATCGTCACATTACACCCCTAATACATTTCGATGCTTGATTCAAACACTTTTCCAAAGCAAAAAGTAGCAGAACTACTGACTTAAACCAACACACCAGAGCAATCTTGACATTTATGATTTAAAGCGAAATTGATCTTAAAAAAATATTTCTCCCTGAACAACATCTGTGAAGACCCTGGAAATAAAGTGTGAGATTTCTGAGGAGGATTCAAAATGTAACCAAGAGTGCATGACATTTTCATTTTTCACTTGCACTGTTTCTTTTACACACACACACACACACACACTAATAAGCAATATATCAGGATATGAAGCCAGAGAGCCAAGTTCCCTTGGCTTCATCTCTTCTGAGGACACCAGGGAGCTATAAACCAGAGTCTGGACTTTCAGTGCTGAATGAAGTATTTTTCTCTACTTTATTAACTTCAGAGGAATAATAACACAGTCAATCTCTTTCCATTGGTAAGCATGTTCCCAGTCATGACAAAGATTTGCCTTTCTCTTATTCTTCAACCTTCAGCAGTTTAGCCTGAGAAAACAATCAAAAATATCCAAGGGGAAGTCTAAACGGCAATGAATGCAAGTTTCAGAGGATTTGGCTTTCAGCATTTTACAGTGTTAAAAGCTCAAACGATTCACTGCAGTCATCAGAAACCTCGGCCACAAGTACAATCCTATTTACAAGGCCAATTACATTATCTCTCAGGATTACAACCACTTCGGCGGCAGGAATCTTCATCTATTTTCTTTAATAATCTCCACATTCATTGTGCGCTGCGGTGTGCTGTGCAGATGTCTCCTTTCTATGGTCAATCACAAACATCCCCTCCATAATACAATGATGGCATGCTGCCTCATTACATACAATAGACAAAAGCCGTCTTATCCTAGGATTTTTAAAGGGGTAGCCTATCTGAACACACCCAAGCTTTACATTGAGGATGTTGATACTTACCATCGATCACATGACCAGAAATTTAATCCAGGATAATCGTTATGGACAAATAAGTTCCTCTAGCTAGTGTTCTTTGTCTGTTATTCATTTGACCGAGCTTTAGTTCAGTTTTGAAACATTTATAGGGTGTCACAGAAAATAATCTGTTTAATTACATCAGTATTTGATATCTGTCAGCAATCATACACTATTCCGGGATTCCAAAAACACGCATAATAACATAACTACACCCTAAAAAAATTATGGGTTGTTTTAACCCAATTTTGGGTCAAATATGGACATTGGGTTACATTTTTAAATGACATTTTGTCAAACGATTAATCCCGATTAATCGCATCTAAAATAAAAGTTTGTGTTACATAATATATTATTTATATATAAAATATAAATGATATATAAATCTATATACAAAATATTTCTTAAATATATACAAGTGTGTGTATTTATATATATAAAAAAATTATACACAGTGCACCCACATATATTATGTAACCACAAACTTTTATTTTGGATGCGATTAATCGCGATTAATCATTTGACAGCCCTATTTTTAACCCAATGTTTGAGCTAAACATTGGGTTAAAACAACCCAGCATTTTTTAGAATGAATAACATTTTTATTTTCGACGTTCTTTCCATAAAGAAACAGTTCAAACATTAGTTACCGATTTAGGCTGATCCCAGAGACCTAAATTACTAGCCAAGTAGGTCTACTAATTCACCCCCTCTGGGTCACACAAGACACTATTTTTGCATAACCCTATGATTTGGCCCCAGCCGACATCTTTTATGTTCTAAGGGCATTCCTATGGCAACCATAATTGAGGCAGCGTGAATGCTCCACTTAAGAGGGGAACCAGTCTCACGCCCCAGTTACCCATGAGTGTCCCCCTCTCACCCCTCCATCAGGAAGAAGTCGAGCCGGGTCTTCAACAGCCACATCACAAGCATTACAACCATAGAAGGGGAAACAATTATCTACTACAGCATCTAAATTTCCTGTGCTATATTTGTCAACACATCATGTTATCATTCTCTGCAAAAAATCCCTAAGCATGCAGCCTCCCACAGTTTCAGGGGGTAGGAGTGTCTGTTCAACATTTCTGGCCCATTATGAAACCTTTTATTGGTGCACTTTTAAGGTGTGTTCACACTTTGCATGTTTGGTTCCATTAAAACAAACTCTAGATCGATCGCTCTGACAGTGTGGTTCACTAATGCCTTCTTCATGATTTTAAAACGTCGGGCTGAACTGTGCGGTTCACACAACATGACTTGCTCTCTGTGAAATCAGGAGCGTTCAAATTGTTGAGCTGTTCACACCACACCACACGACACTGTGTATCCTGTATCCTGTCTACAAACCACGTTTTGTCACGAAAAATCACGCGATATGACGAACCCGGAAATGACGCAAAACAGCACATGCGTCAATACCCAGCGAAGAAGAGAAGAACACAACACGCGAATATGGACGTCAGACAGAAAATAGTGTTTCAAACTGTTTGCGCGATGATTTGCTCTGAGAAAAAAATGCAAAAAAAGAAAAAAATAAGATTTACCCGGTGACCTCAACCCATGCCTTGCTCTGATTGGCTGGAGCTCATGATATCACTGACGTTGAGTCACGCGACAGCTCTGGATATCTAGCATGCTACATATCTTGCGACGCGTCTGCGAGCGTCTTTGATGCGTTGTTGGCTCTTTCATACTAACGGATTGGCGAGCGCTCATCGTCCGCTAATCCCCCGCGATAACACCCTGAACCTGTCGGCGAGCTCAACGATTTGCTTAAAATCATGTAGTGTGAACTTGGCTTAATGAGGTTTCAGACACAATAAGTGTGAAAAACACTTATAACGCAATATAGGACTTTTGTTTTATAGTCGCAATGAAACAGAAGTAGTCACATATCTTGTCTGCATTATATATATAATATACAATATTGTGACGTACATCGAAATGCAACGAATCATCGACTTCATTCAATGCATTGGCTGTTGACTGCATATTCAAATGTGACGTTGTACTCGAAAGTGGAGGCAGATGAACATAATACTAAGGGACTTGGTTTATCCTTTTAGTTGAAAACATTGTATGCGTTTCGACCATTAATTTACACGACGACGGTGTTTTGGGTGCCTGAAAACACAAACTTTTGAAAACGGGTTTCAAAGTGTCTATTTTTGAAAACGGTCTCAGCGTAAACAACAAAAATGCGAATTTCTGAAGATGATGTCATGCTCATGTGTATTACATGTTCAGTCTATAGTTCTTCATCGCCATCTAATGGCCTGGAAGAAGAATACAGCTTTTTTTACCGTTTCAAGATCCTTGTGAATGGATCCTTGTCTTTACGCAAAACTTTGACATAATTAAAAATTAAATATTTTTATTGGAATTATTGCAATTATTTATCTGTGCACGTCATTATTATTTTTATTTATGTGCCCTCATAAGCTTTAATTAAAAAAAAAAAAAACTTCCCCTCCCTCTTGCAACATCTCTGATGTCACGTTTACTAGCCCGACTCGCGAGGACGGGCAACCTGTCAATCACATGAAATCAACCAATAGCAAACCACAACCATCCAATCAATTACAGATGAACAAAATTAAGTTTCTTGTTCGAGAAGCGGTTCACAAGGACACAATAGGGAAGAAATGCATCATTTCAATGCTGACATTAAAACCTTTTAACTAGTCCTACAAGAAATCGGAACTGGAAAATTACATTTTATTGAATGCTACATGTTCAAATGCAGTGTGCACTAACTAACATGCAAGTAAAGTTACAACTGGTTTGCAAAAAGTAATGTTTTTCCACATTAAATCTTTTTTTAGAAAGCCCCCCAAACCTAAATTTCCCTTATGAAAAAGAGCTGCCTATTTCTGCTAGAGGCGTGTCCTGGCAAAGGCAGCCCTCAACACACACATTGGCATCCCATTTTTAGCTAGTTCCAAGAGCAGGAGTTTTCTAGCAAGGAAAAGTCGAAGTAAAAGAAGAGGAACATCTGTATCCTGGCTCTCTCTCTCTCTCTCTCAGTGGACTCATTCCAGACAAAGACGCATCCAGCGAGGTCTGCCAACCCATAACCTTTTAAGGACATGAAAAACCATCCAGTACTTAGCCTAAACTCAATTCTGACCAATTTTCACTGTGTTTTCATTTTCATTGTTTTCAGGCACGTTCTGAAATCTAAAATCCCAGAGCATGTTTATTAAATGTTAATGTTTTGCTGTCAGATTTTTTTTTGGTCAGGACAAGTAATCCCATGTCAGAGCAACAGTTTGAAGATAATCTTGTTAAACAGGTTGCCTTATGTCAATATGTTAGCCTATATGATAACACAACATCCGGTTTAATGGCACAAATATTTGTATTTATCTCCTTCACTACTCAGATTTGATCACCCCATTAACTTCCATATTTTTACTTGGCTAACTGTAGTAGTTGAATTGAAAGAGAAAACATTTTAAAAGGCGTTTAAGTTAATGCGTTATGCATATGAATTGTGGTCTGACACATTTCGTCTCAATGGCATTAAGTTACGTCTCAAACCACCTACATACAAAGCTAATACAAATAATAAGCACTAATATCTAAAGAGTAGGCTATTTATAAGTACTAGCGCCTAATGGAATAGATGGTGTCTAAAAAACAAGTACAAGTAGCATGAAAATACATACCATTAAGGAATAAACATTAAAACGGCTTGCCATACTGCACGCGACTACTAGCTACTACTAGAACGCTGTCTCAAAGTAGACAACTTGTTGATTATCATGAACTTCCTAATTTCAAAACAAGCCAAACCATTTTGAAAAACTGGTGAAACCTCAGCTCTAATGCATAGGCTCGCGTTTGAACGTCGTGAATGTGCGAGTTGAGTCCAAAGTAGTTAGTTAAGTTACACAGGAACGCAGAGAAAATGGTGAAAACTGCCAGTGCCACATCAGCGCAGATTTAAAGCTAACGTTACAAACAACAAAGAAAACGCTCTTTTCCAAATAGTTTCACAGAACTAAGGTTAGTTGTCTAATAATGTGATAGAAAACGCAAATTCGGTACAAAGTTCGTCAGGGCCGTATTTACTACGTTTAGATTCACTTATTGGCACGCCGTCTGTAACTTAAATAACTTTTGTACGCTTTGTACTATCATTTTAGATGCCAGGGAAACTCATTTACCTCTTTTGTGTCAAGTCGAAAGGAAGATCCGTTGAGAAGATGTCAGTGAGTTCGTGTCGCTACTGGAGTCTGAACAAATCAACAAAAAGACGAAGCATGAGGAGAAGAAACCCATTCTTTAACCCTTTCCTGCGCGGGCTGCCTGACTGAACATCAACAAGCACCACAGACACGCCACCCAGCTAACAGGGAACGTTCTCAGAACTTTGGCTAACATTCCCTAGAGGTTTGGTTAATGTTTTAAATAAAACATTTGAATGCAATGTTTAAAGAATGTTTTAAGGATGTTTTCTCATTTCAAATAATGTTCCTATAAGGTTAAATGTAAACTAAGATATAACATTTTCACTGTAACATTTTGTGGATGTTTTGGGAATGTTGCTGAGATAACAGATTAAACAATGTTCTCAATAAAACATTAGCACAATATCTCATAATAACAGAGGAGGAACATTATTAAATCAACGTTCGCAAAATGTTTTGAGGATATTATTTAGGCCTGAGATGATGGAATGTTTTTATAAAACGTTCTTGTAATGTGACTTGTTAACAAAACTAGAACATTGTCACTGTAACATGTTGAGGATGTTTTGGGAATGTTGTTGAGATAACAGATATTAGAATGTTATCAATAAAACATTGGTACAATGTCCCTTAAAAACAAAGGAGGAACATTATCAAATCAACGCTCGCAAAATGTTATGAGGATATCATTGAGGCCTGAGATGACTGAATGTTTTTTATAAAACATTCTTGTAATGCGACGTGTTAAGAAAACTAGAACGTTTTAAATTTAACATTTTGAGGATGTTGATGAGGTAAAGGTTTGTAGAATGATCTCTTATAAAACATGGAAACAATGTTCCATAATAACAGAGGAGGAACATTATCAGGTTAACGTTCGCAAAATGTTTTGAGGATACTATTTAGTCCTGAGATGACGGAATGTTTTTTATAAAATGTTCTTGTAATGTGACATGTTAACAAAACTAGAACATTTTTACTGTAACATGTTGAGGATGTTTTGGGAATGTTGTTGAGATGACAGATATTACAATGTTCTCAATAAAACATTGGTACAATGTCCCATAAAAACATAGGAATAACATTATCAAATCAACGCTCGCAAATGTTATGAGGATATCATTGAGGCCTGAGTTGATGGAATGTTTTTTATAAAACGTTCTTGTAATGTGACGTGTTTAACAAAACTAGAACGTTTTAAATTTAACATTTTGAGGATGTTGATGAGGTAAAGGTTTGTAGAATGATCTCTTATAAAACATGGAAACAATGTTCCATAATAACAGAGGAGGAACATTATCAGGTTAACATTCGCAAAATGTTTTGAGGATATTATTTAGTCCTGAGATGATGGAATGTTTTTTATAAAATGTTCTTGTAATGTGACGTGTTAACAAAACTAGAACATTTTCACTGTAACATGTTGAGGATGTTTTGGGAATGTTGTTGAGATAACAGACATTACAATGTTCTCAATAAAACATTGCTACAATGTCCCATAAAAACATAGGAATAACATTATCAAATCAACTTTCACAAAATGTTATGAGGATATCATTGAGGCCTGAGATGATGGAATGTTTTTTTATAAAATGTTCTTGTAATGTGACGTGTTTAACAAAACTAGAACGTTTTAAATTTAACATTTTGAGGATGTTGATGAGGTAAAGGTTTGTAGAATGATCTTTTATAAAACATTGAAACAATGTCCCATAAAAACATAGGAATAACATTATCAAATCAACGGTCGTAAAATGTTTTGAGGATATTATTTAGTCCTGAGATGATGGAATGTTTTTTATAAAAAGTTCTTGTAATGTGACGTGTTAACAAAACTAGAACATTTTCACTGTAACATGTTGAGGATGTTTTGGGAATTTTGTTGAGATAACAGATATTAGAATGTTATCAATAAAACATTGCTACAATGTCCCATAAAAACGGAGGAGGAACATTATCAAATCAACGTTCACAAAATGTTATGAGGATATCATTGAGGCCTGAGTTGATGGAATGTTTTTTAATAAAATGTTTGTAATGTGACGTGTTTAAACATTAACACTGTAACATGTTAAGGATGTTTTGGGAATGTTGTTGAGATAACAGATATTACAACGTTCTCAATAAAACACTGAACATGTTCCATTATAACAGAGGAGGAACATTATCAAATCAACGTTCGAAAAATGTTTTGAGGATATCATTGAGGCCTGAGATGATGGAATGTTTTTTAAAACATTCTTGTAATGTGACGTGTTAACAAAACTAGAATGTTTTAAATGTAACATTTTGAGGATGTTGATGAGGTAAAAGTTTATAGAATGATCTTTCATAAAATATTGAATGTAGGCCTACAACAGAGGAAGAACATAATCAAATTAACGTTCGCAAAATGTTTTGAGGATATTATTTAGTCCTGAGATGATAAAATGTTTTTAATAAAACATTCCTTTAAATTGACTTTTTAACAAACATTTTGCATGATACATTTTGAGGATTTTTTGTCGAAATGTTGTTATCTTTTATAAATCATTGGCACAATAACAAAGGAGGAACATTATCAAAGCAACATTCATCAAATGTTTTGTGGACATTAACCTGAGATGACAAAATCTCATAATATATGTTAACAAAAGCTCATAAAATTGTAAGGATATTTTAAGGAAGCTGTTTAGGTAACAGATTTTAGAATGATTTTAACCTATAAAATAATGGCATAAAAGAGGAACATTGTCAAAACAGCATACGTAAAGTGTTTTGAGGATATATTAGGCTACTCTGAACTGAACTGTTGCGACAAATGCGTTTACAAGAGATGAGAAGCTGATTGGAGGTCGCTGTAGATCGACGTTTAAAACCACCAATCACAGCGCGATGTTCCCATGACGTAAGAACATTTGAACTCGTCGACAAACAGCGCAAATAAAGCAACGTTTCTGTTGAAGAAATCGGCGCAGAATGTCCGTTGTCTAAATTGGCGACACATTGGCCCAAAACAACAGAACTCCTGGTCAACGGAACTCTTTCACAAATGTAAGTTTTTGTGTGTATTTTTTCAGTTTACATAGCTTTCTCTTATCCTTGATGTCTTTCAGTATTAGACCTAACTTTCTACTTTCTTAGAATTGTATGACAGTCGCAATAAATCGACTGAGTGTATGCTACTTTTGAATAACAGCTAGATTTGTTTTAATGCAGACTCCAAACGGACTGTTTCAAGATGATTAACTTACCGATGACACGTGTCAAAGTCTCCATTTACAACCAAGGTAGCCTACTATAATGCCGATATTGTGTTCTATGCATACGAATACTGTAGCCTATTTTTTACTTAAAAGTGATCTTAATGTCTTTTGAAAGTAAAAGTTAATAATATTTCAGTAATTCATATAACGTTAGAGGTTAACGTTAATGAATTGGAAAGAGCGTTTCTCAAGGCTTCAGGTGTATATAACATTCTTCTTTCAGATGAATACTATCTGAGTTATATTTAAAAAAATGTCCTGACTCTTCTGACTTTTAGAATGGCAGTGAATGGCCGTCTATCAAGGCGCATCCATCCATGATAAAAGTAATCCACCACATGACTCTGGCGGGGTCATAAAGCCCTTTTAAAGCGAAGCATTTGTGTAAGAAAAATATCCATTTTTAAAACTTTATTGGATTAAGATATTGGATACATGGATTAAGTATGTTTTAAATTACAGAAACAAAAAAGATACTCATAATTTATCATATTTATACTTTCAATAAATTAGCCTTTACATAATGAGCCTTTACATCTGACTGCTAATTAGGCTGGCTAATTTTAAAAGTTTTCAATGTCAATATTGCTTGTGATCTTAATGTGTATTCTTTATGTTTACACTTTTGCATGATCTTCTTTTTTAGGCTATGAGGAAAAACTCTACCGTGCACACAGAGAACAGAGCTCAATGCTGCTAACTGGGGGAGCAGCTGGACAACTAGAAGAGAGAACAGTAGAACACTATTATTAATACAGATTCCTGGATTATTTTTCTGCAAGAACCAAAACAAGCAAAGACTGATGATGAGTGCTCTGAGCAAACACTGGAGTCAAGACGCATGAGTGACTTTACTGAGTTCTTCATGTAATGTTGGGCATTTACTGTACGCAGAACTTCTAATAATTTATGTGGATGCCATTTATAAACCTGTTAGATTTTGATGTTTTAGTTTTGAGATTAATAAAATGTTATGCTTTAACAATGTTATAGCTAATCATTTTTGAGGGGTTTTAAGAGAACAGTTTGGGAACAAAAATAAACTTCCGCTAAAAACTTTATAAGAAAGTTAGGGAATAATGTTTTAAAAATGTTATGATTAAACCTTTATAGAAGGTCATCACAAAACATTTTCAGAGTGTTCTTAGAGAATGTTATGCCATCTTTTAAGAGAACATTCTGGGAACAAAAAGAAAACTACCCGCTGAAAATGATATAAGAACGTCAGGGAATAATTTTCTAACAATGTTAGCATTTAACATATTTAGAATGTTTTTAGAGAATGTTATTAGAACTTTTAAGAGAACATTCTGGGAACAAAAAGAAAACTACCTGCTGAAAATGTTATAAGAACATTAGGGAATAATGTTCTAACAATGTTAGCAATAAACATATTTAAAATGTTTTTAGACAATGTTATTAGAACTTTTAAGAGAACATTTTAGGAACCAAAAGAAAACTACCCGCTGAAAATGTTATAAAAACATTAGGGAATAATGTTCTAACAATGTTAGCAATAAACATATTTAAAATGTTTTTAGAAAATGTTATTAGAACTTTTAAGAGAACATTCTGGGAACAAAAAGAAAACTACCCGCTGAAAATGTTATAAGAACGTCAGGAAATAATGTTCTAACAATGTTAGCATTTAACATATTTAGAATGTTTTTAGAGAATGTTATTAGAACTTTTAAGAGAACATTTTAGGAACCAAAAGAAAACTACCCGCTGAAAACATTGTAAGAACACTGCATGGTAATGTTCTCAGAACATTTTTAGAACAAAAAAATCCTAGCTGGGCAGTCACTCCTCTGCCATAATCACTGGTTATTTTTTGGCATACTGTAAAATTAATAGTTGGTAAAAAAAAATAAAATAAAAAATAAAGATATCTTTCAAAAAATACAAAACGTTTTCAGGACAGTTCTATCTATTTACTTACGTTTTTATGACGTGTCCATGTTTCCTCCTTTTTTATTGCGATAACTGATTTTCCACAGAAACAGGATGGTAATAAAAATCACACTGTTAACACCTAATTTTATAGCAAAGATAGCATTTTATATCTTAAAGGGATAGTTCTCCCAAAAAGTTCAAATCTGTCATTATTTATTCACCCTCAAGTTGTTCTAAACCTGTATGAGTAGGCCTATCTTTCTCCAGCTGAACACAAAAGAAGATATTTTGAAGAATATTGGTAACCAAACAGCTGACTTGGATAGTATTTTACTACTGTCAACTGTTTGGTTGCTGACAATCTTCAAAATATCGTCTTGTGTGTTCTTCAGAAGAAAGAAACCCATACAGGCTTGGAACATCTTGAGGGTGAAAATGATGCCACGATTTTTGGGTGAACTATCCCATGAAAGTTATAATCCATGACATATTATATAGGGCTATGGCACCTTAAAACCACTTTTGCTGATAATTTACTCACCCCCGTGTTATCCAAGTTATCCACGTCTTTCTTTCTTCAGTTGAAAAGAAATTAAGGTTTTTGATGAAAACATTCCAGGATTTTCTCCATATAATGGACTTCATTGGGAACCAAACGGTTCAAGGTCCAAATGAGAGTTTCAGTGCAGCTTCAATGGGCTTTAAACGACACCAGACGATGAATAAGGGTCTTATCTAGGACCCTTCGAGTCATGACTCAAAAAAAGATTTGTTCATTTTGATGAACGAGTTTGAAAAGGAGAGACCCTTATTCATCGTCCGGTGTCGTTTAAAGCCCTTTGAAGCTGCACTGAAACTCTCATTTGGTCCTTGAACCGTTTGGTTCCCATTCAAGTCCATTATATGGAGAAAATCCTGGAATGTTTTCATCAAAAACCTTAATTTCTTTTCGACTGAAGAACAAAAGACATGGATATCTTGGATGACATGGGGGTGAGGAAATAATCATCAAAAGTTTTTTTTAAAGTGAACTACTCCTTTAAGTTTAAGGTTTACACCAGTTACACCAAACTGTCACTGAATGCATCTTCCCAGAAATGTTCTTTCACACACCGCATGAATGTAATTTCTACTTACCAGAGCTTGAGGGATTCTTTACCCTTCAACTGAGGAATTCTGACCGCATTGTTGTTGCAATGAAACTGATCAGTAATATAATTGTATTGACAATACTGCCCTCCTCAGGTCAAAAGTGGGAAAATCTGTTTTGTTGTGTTTTTTTGACACACATCACTTCACTGATCATATCATCAGCACATGGGAAAGTGTCAATAGGTGCAAGTCAGATGAATTCACTCTATGATTCTGATTGGATTATGAGAGCATCATAATTGCTTTAAAAGGAGGGAAAAGGTGCTTCAAACATGGACATCTTAGATGACATGGGGGTGAGTAAATTATCAGCAAATGGTTTTATTTAAAGTGAACTAATCCTTTAATAATAGATATAACAATAATCAAAATGCCAATTTTTGGTACTAATCCTCAAGGTGACACAAAGTCTAGGAAAATACAGTTCCTTGAATCATTTTAAAATGTTACGAAGTGCTCAGGTCGTTACAAATAACCTTTTTAATTCAGCAAGGACCTAATTGAGACAACAAAAAAGCTAAAAATTGAGAGGTGGAAGCTCATTATCCAGTAACAACAAAAGACCTTGAGTGACAGATCCAATAAATGTACATTTTCTTTATTCCAAAAAGATAACAATGCAGTTCCATAACAATAACATTTCTCAATAAAATATTTACACACACATTTTAAAAGTACATTAACATCCCTTCAGAGGCATTATGCATGGCATCGTCAGACAGCTGAAGCCATAGCAGCTTATTGGATATTTATTTCTAATAACATGGCAACACAATTCTCATCTGGAGACGTGAATGACAAATGATTCATGTTTGCCATTCGCCGTCATCATATTTAGCGAGAGCTTGCTTTTTTAATGAGAGGAACAGAACATACAGTGACAGTCGTGCCTATTCTGAACTACAAGCTAGGATTAGTTTGCTTCTGTGTCAAAGACATCATATTTTCAGGACAGTGAGAGCTATGAACCTGTTCGCAAGTAAAGACAACGAAGAGACTAAATCAAACTGCGTCGTGAAAGATAAGCTGAACTTCTTTATTACCCGTTTTGAGATATATAAGCTAAACGTGAAAACCTAATTAAACCTACGAACGAGTAACTGCTACTTTTGTCCACGTACTGTACTCAAACAAACTCCACTGAAGCTCTATCATTTACAGTGTGGAAACAACCAACACGCATGATACTCAACATTTAACAGAAGTTTCCTGTATAGGTTCTTGCTAAAAAATATTGCTTCCTTCAATAAATCCAATATCCAAGTTATGATATTAAAGGGATAGTTCACTTTGAAATCAATTTATATATATATATATATATATATAAATGTAGGTGTCTTTGTTTCCGCAGTAGTTTCAATTTTGATATTTTTAGGTCAAACCGTTCGTGTCTATCAGTCATATAATGGAGGTCTATGGTCACCACCTCAAAGAGCATGCACAGAAAAGTCCAAATTAAACATGATTTGATGACTCGTAAATGTAAGTACACATTGATGGCCGAGCGGTTTGTGTGAGAAAACGAACAGTATTTATATCGTTTTTACCTCTTGTAACCACAGCCACGTCCAAGTGATTTGAGGGTGAGAGGTAAGACAAGAGGTAAAAACGATATAAATACTGTTCGTTTTCTCACACAAACCGCTCGGCCATCAATGTGTACTTACATTTACGAGTCATCAAATCATGTTTAATTTGGACTTCTCTGTGCATGCTCTTTGAGGTGGTGACCATAGACCTCCATTATATGACTGATAGACACGAACGGTTTGACCTAAAAATTTCAAAATTGAAAATACTGCGGAAAAAAATTTATTTCAAAGGGAACTATCGCTTTTAAAGTTAAAAAAATGCTTCCAATTATGCTTTTAGCGGAAGATGTCACCGTTGCAACTAATGGACACTTTCAAAAATAACAGCGAATACACACGATGCAGCAAACGTGTAATTACACACACATCATGCCTCATTTTAATTTTGCAGTTCGTCTCAGCAGAACTCGCACAATGACCGAACTGAACAACTCAGACAATAAACATGCAAGTGATTCCACAAACCTAAAAACTTCTGGGCAGGCCAATAAATAAGCAACTGGAAAAACTGCAAATCAACAAAAAAATATATGTACACTATATAGTTCTTTTGAGGAATACGGACAACTGGCAGTGTGCTGACGTGGATTGCTTGTGCAGTTTAGCATATTAAGGCAATATTAGGGAGACGTGAGGGAAAATACTGCTACATTGCTCGTCTAAATGAATGAAACGTGCCCTTGTGCTACAAAACCATATTGTGTGGCGTTACGACTGAAAGAAAAAGGCCTTTCTTGTTCATATACACTTCAAAATATTGATGAATCCTGTACATGACAGTAAGGAAAAATGGAAAAGAAAAGCTCCTGAAAGATCAAGATCAACTAGCTAACCAAACAAACTAACCTGTTGTGTCTGTCATCCATAAGGATCATAACCATTCCCGTATGAGAACTCGTTCCACGCAGAGCACAGACACACCAACCAGTAACATTGCTTTTACCGCTCAAATACTGAATGACCTGCACAGAAAACACACATTCTAGTGTTTACTAGCCACCCTTCACACACGTCACATGACTACAAGCTCATTGGCATTAGAACATGAAATGGTTTACAGTTTTGTTTAACACAGCTACAGACAATTACGCCAGCATTTCAAGCTCGGCTACGGTGTGCAATACTTCAGGTGATCAACGCTGTGTGTCGGAAATAAAAATGGAATTCATTTGACCGGATTGTGAGCATTTACCATAGAAAAAAAAGAAGTTTTCTCCTGTGTCGTGTGTAAGTTGAAATGAAAAAAAAAAAAGCCGGGTTGCAGGATGAACAGGTTGATGTTGTTTGACTGTGTCACTGTTCAAAGCTTCTGATGGAAACTCCAGCCCAGCGGCCCGTCACCATGTGTGTGTGTGGGGCTCTCAGATCTTCTTGGGCCGGCGTCCCAGATGGTAGTAGTAGGACAGCGTGACGGTGAGGAAGAATATGCGACTGAGGAGGAGGAGGATGGCCGTGTTTGGCAGGGATCCCAGTTCCATCAGAGTGACGGAGGTCACTGTAACAGACAAGTGCACAAAGACATTCATGAGCCAAATTAAGGACTTCAGATATGAGATATTTCAATGTTTTTGACAGAAGTCTCACCAGGGCTGCATTTACTTGATCGAAATACAGAAAAAAAAACAGTAATATTGTAAAATGTATTTATTTTTTTCAATTTAAAATAACTGTTTCATATTTGAATATGTCATGTATTTGTGATGCACATGTGAATTTTCAGCATCATTACTCCAGTCCTCAGTGTCACATGATCAGAAATAATTTTAATTTTGTATTATTATCAATGTTGAATACAGTTTCTTGATTCCTTGATGAATAGAAAGTTCAAAAGAATTAAACAATTTTTGTAAGACTGTAATTGTCTTCACTGTCATTTTTGATTCATTTAAAGAATCCTGTAGCCCTCAAACCGTATTCACTTTATAGCCCTTAATCCTGTAATTGTGGACAAATGTGGGCACAGAGGACTCAGGTGTGATCCTAATTTTTATTTATTATAAATGTTATATCACTGTCTTCGATAAAGTTTTGTCTATCCATTTATGTTGTTTTTTTTAATTTTGGGGGTATTTTTGAATTTATTTACTTCAAAAAGTACCATATTTTCTATGTAAATTATGCTTATTTTTATGTTTTATTTTTTTTAACCACATTCAAATATCATTCCAATAAGTTCTTAGAGCTAAAACCTAAAGATGAAGTGACTCTGCTGTCACCTGGTGTCTTATTTTGGCTTGTGCTCTAAATTACAGTTTTACCCATTCATTTCTATTGGTGCCCACTTTTGACCCAAATACAAGATTAAGGAGTTTTTATCACCCACTTAACATTGTAGAGTTGAGTCAAAAAAAATAATTGTTTGTTCAGGAGGCAAACTTAGGAAAAGTAGCCAAGTCTTGTACCGCTCAGATCAAGGGAAGTATTTTTTAAAATAAATCAAAACTATTTTGCCCACATTTGTCCAGAAAATGGTTTTAGGGTCTTTTGAAAATTTTCAATCTTTTGAAATGCTATGTACTGTTGTTCTCTGGAATCCTTGATTCTGATTGGTCAGTTGTGGCTGTGTATTTATATAATGACCCCAACCCTAAACCTATTTCACCAAACAAAAATCTGGATAGGAGGAAGACATGATGTTACACTGTTAATAAAAAAAGAGTTTATTAATATAACTTATAAAACAAGAAAAAAAAAAAGATAAATTAAAACAATTCTAAAATCTAAAATAATTAGGGCCACTTATTTATTTTTTTGGCAAGTAGTCATGTAATAGGTAGAAAACTACAGGAAGCTTGTAATGAGCCGGTACATTATTTTGTTAGAGGTGGAATAGTAAATAGTTTTTTAATTAGCAGTCTGTGTTGTTTATGGGTATGTGTATGTGGGTTTTACCTGTTAAGATAAGTTTCCCTTAGGGGACAATAAACTGAAACTGAACTGAACTAATGCTATTTGGGACTCAATATAATGCTCAATACAAACAACATATTAATATTGTAAAATAAACATATATACAGTATATCTCAACTATATGTGTAAAACACCACAGACAATGTGAGTACTGTACGTATTTGAACGAATCCATTGAGAGACCACCACCACTAGAGGGCAGTGCCATCATGACATTACAGGACTGACAAAGTACAGCATGCACAAGACTCTAGTTCTCATTGATACAAACCTAAAAACTGGATGGCGAAGTAACAGGCCTCGCTAAGTAATGTCCACTGGATGATGACCTTCTCAGCGGTGTACAATCCATTCCACATGATCAGAGACAGGCCTGCCAAAAAGAGGACAAAAATGTACACTACTGGTCAAAAGTTTGGATCAGTAAGTTTTTTTTAAAGAAATTAATACTTTTATCCAGTAAGGATGCCTTACATTTATCAAAAGTGACATTTATAATGTTACAAAAGATTTCCACTTCAAATTAATCCAGTTCCTATTGAACCCTGCTGACGTATGTCCGATAGGTTCTCCGCCAGCTTCTATACTACTGACGTATGTCCGATAGGATCTCAGCCAGCTTCTATACTTCCGCATAGCGTGTTCCCGCAGGCAAAGTGTATAGTGGCAAAACTTTAATAAAATTAATTTTCTCAGAAATGGAGACAACGATTTTAGAAACCGATTCTCTAGTCGGATTTCGCCTGATATGAGAGAATACTCGCCCTCAAAGTTGTCGATGTAGCTCGAAATATGAAATTTAAAGCTCTTCTCTTTTTTTACTGCCTCACAGTGTTGTTAACATCATTCACATTAACCACAGGAAGTTTCTGTAAACAGCAAGTGTAATGTGCCACTATCTCCACCTAATGCAAAACCGGCCTCTGACGCAGCACCGGATGTAACTGGGCGGGCTGAGACAAACCCAGAAGTGATTTAGAAGATTAAGAAGTTTAAATAAATGAATAATAGAAGTACATTTTAGAAATGGCAGATAGGAACAGAAAAGAGAGAAAAAAGTGGCAAAAAAGAGAGATTAAATGAGTGAGATGAAAAATTTCCCCTATCCATCCAGTGGAAATTTTCCATCTCACTCATATAATTTTTCTTTTTGGATGGATGGATGGATGGATGGGCGGATGGATGGATGAATGGGCAGATGGGCAGATGGATGGATGGATGGATGGGCAGTTGGATGGATGGGCAGATGGATGGATGGGCGGATGGATGGGCGGATGGATGGATGGGTGGGTGGATGGATGGATGGATGGATGGATGGATGGATGGATGGATGGATGGATGGATGGATGGATGGGCGGATGGATGGATGGATGGATGGGCAGATGGATGGATGGGCAGATGGATGGATGGATGGATGGATGGATGGATGGGCAGTTGGATGGATGGGCAGATGGATGGATGGATGGATGGATGGATGGATGGGCGGATGGATGGATGGATGGATGGATGGATGGATGGGCAGTTGGATGGATGGGCAGATGGATGGATGGATGGATGGATGGATGGATGGATGGATGGATGGATGGGCGGATGGATGGATGGGCAGATGGATGGATGGATGGATGGATGGATGGATGGATGGATGGATGGATGGATGGATGGATGGATGGATGGATTGATGGATGGATGGATGGAGGGATGGATGGGTGGATGGAGGGATGGATGGATGGTTGGATGGGCAGATGGATGGGCAGATGGATGGATGGATGGGCAGATGGATGGATGGATGGGTGGATGGATGGATGGATGGATGGGCAGTTGGATGGATGGGCAGATGGATCGGCAGATGGATGGGCAGATGGATGGATGGGTGGGTGGATGGGCAGATGGATGGATGGGTGGGTGGATGGATGGGTGGGTGGATGGATGGGCAGATGGATCGATGGGTGGGTGGATGGATGGGCAGATGGATGGATGGATGGGTGGGTGGATGGATGGGTGGATGGATGGGCGGATGGATAATCTTTCCTGTACATCTTGAGATACCAAAGAACAGTTAATATTAAAAACTATTTATTTAATTTTTGAAGGAGAGATGTGAGAAGGAAGCAGGTAGGGGAATAATTGCACTACTAATCTTTGCAAATTTGTTGTCTGCAGTGGGCCAGAAAGAGTTCGATTTAATGTGCAATTACATGAATGAGCAGCGAAAAGCGTGCAGCCATCCAGGGAATATTTCCTTCACGCTTCTCTTCACAATCCACTGGCTGACTGGCCATTTAAACACACAAACACATCCTAGAGCCCCTTGAGTAGAAAGGTAAAAAGACAGAGGAGTCTGTTTACAGCCCATCAAGAGATGCACTGATCACGTCTCACTATAAGGCTGAGAGAGATCATTAGGTAATGCAGCGTTGATGACATGAATATGACTTACTGAGAATGGCTCCTCCATAGAGACGTATAGAGACACTGGTGGCCGTTTGCTCCTGATCAAACACAACCTCATACAGCTGGTTGGGGAAGGCCAGGGCCTATAAATCACACACACACACACAAAACCACTTAATGATGACTAGACTCATTGTGATACTGAAGATAGTAAGAAAGCAATGCTCAGGTACTGAAACTCACCATAAGGGCCATGACTGTGAAAACCACGGCAGAGAAGAGAATCCATAACCTTGAGAAAGAAAAAAACACACAGTAATAGAAAACTGATTCTAAAATGCCATGGGCAGTTTAACAATGCTATAAAGAGGGATTTAAAAGCCTGAGACCAAATATCTGGGATTCAAAATTGCATTTAAACCAGGAAATAAACAAAGAAACTTTAATTTAGTCTATTTGTCGGCTGCTGTATAATACAATTATGTCCCCATGACGCCATTAAAACAGATTGCTGGGATCCTTCTGAAGTCTGTAGACACAAACCAGCTGTTTAAACTGGATGCGTCAAAGCAAACATTCTTTCACTCTTCCGATTGTCCTGTTGAATTGTCCTGCTTTTTCTTACATAGCCACTACACAGAGGAATTCAATAGCGAATGACGTAAAGAGCTGCAACTCTGAAATCCTTTCTGAATACCACTCAAATCTGCACTCACTGAAGCTGATGTGGTGTTGATAAAATGTGTGAGAAAAGAGTAGGGGTGTAACCCTGGTGTCCTGGCCACATTCCCTCCAGTGGCCCTTGCCAATCATGCCCTCCTAATAATCCCCATCCATTGAATCGGCTCTATTACTCTCTCTCCTCTCTCCACCTGTAGCTGGTGTGTTGTGAGCGCACTGGTGGTTGAGGACCCCAACATGTAAAGTGCTTTGTCTGTACATTAGCGCTATATAAATACCTCATTCATTTATTCATAATGACGAAGTTAAGATATAAAACTCGTAAAAAAGCAGGGTGTTTAAATGGTACAAAGACAGTCCCTCCAGGATTTCACGTTTTTTTTGTGTGATTTTTGCGATCAAAATGACTGATTTTGTGGTGGTAATTTTCAAAAATTTGTGAAAAAATTTGCGATTTATATATAACATTTACCATAATAGTATTCAGTCCTTCCAGAAAAACTCTGAGTTTTTTTGTGATTGTTGCGGGCAAAAATTGATTGATTATGCGGCCCGTTTTCTTTAAAAATGATATGGAATATGCAGGATATTTATGCAATTTTATGCGACGAAATTGCAGGAATTTGCAAAAATTGAGGGAACTTGCAAAAATTGCAGTTTGATGAAAAAGAGAAAAAAAGTGATTCCCCCAACATCCTGTTCTCACTAGGCTAATGTAAGAGTCATTTCTTATTACTTCCTTTGATAAGCAAGCATACTACATGATAGAAAGTGCTGGGAATATTTAATTTCTCATCTTGTTTTATTTCAGACTGTAACGAGTGTAAATAAGGCGTGGCCCCTTTAAGAGCTGCGTGCTCCTTGTTGAACTCTCTGCAGTGTTATATGTGCGCCTTGAACACCCCATGTCTGTTTGATACTACTTCTTTTATCTTATGTTGTTTATTAAGTAACGATGTGACGGTAGAACGTGTGACGGACAGTTATACGAGTTCGATTTGTGAGATGTCAATCGCCTCCGTGAGTCTGTCTGGCGTCGCGTAATTGCGTCACTTCATAACGTTCCCATGGAAACAGGGGGAAATGGCTGCTCTTGTGTGAAGCAAACGCAACATTTTTCAACTTTCTGCTAAGATACATGTGACTTTTTTGCAACGAAAATGCGAGGATTATGAAATTATGCAAACCCCACATATTTTGCACGGAAATCGGCAATTTATGCGGCGAAAGTGCGGCGTATTTTAAAAAATGCGGCCCCGCATAAATATGCGGACTTTGGCTGATTTTGCATTGAATTCAGCGATCGCGTAATCGCGTTTTTCTGGAGGGACTGCAAAGACATCTTATTATGTCAAAAGATCAAGGCAAAAGTGATTTCTCATATTATGATGCCTTTAATATTAAAAAATGAAAATATAAATTCTTTTCCGCCAGTGTTTTTGAAAAAAGTTGCAAGCCAGAGCCAGCATTTTCAAGTTTCATGGCCCCCAGAATATTTTCTTATATGAATATCTAAACATGCAATATACACAAATCGAAAGAAAGAATTGAGACTCTGTTTTCAAACAAACAAAAACATATAGCAGTACTTGAATGTGACTAGGTTATATAAAATAAAATAAAAACAAGTTTTTGAGCAAAAAGCTTTTATCAAAGACAAATTAGGTCTTCAAAATTCAGATTGTGAAAGACTTCTGAATGGGGAACTGCTTCACATAACAGTCCTGTAGCTCATCCTGGGTCGATATTTCATTCTTTAACATTAGCCATTTTGTATTTATATGGTGTTTAATGTTGATGATCGCATTATGCATCTGCTTATGCTATCGCTTGATTATGCTTGTTCTTCATCTGTGTTTTGATCAGGAGATTCTCCATTCTTTCAGAAGATGCATAATAGCGCCCTCTACCTGATAACAGTGAAAACGCGGAAATCCGGAAAATTCCGTCAATAGCGGGGAAAGAGTTAATGAGAAATATTTTAGATTGTACCCTGGCCTGTTTTAGGTAACTAATCAAATAAATACATTTGTAACGACTATATGGCGCCTCTTACAGAAGGTCGGATAAATAAATAATAAGACATATTCTAGATTCTACCCTACTAATTAATGAACAAAACATAAACTAAAACTATTTTTACAGAAAATAGCGCAAATTCTCATTTAAAAAATAAAAAAAATAGCAGCATTTTCACAAGTGGTCTCAGGCTTTTGGACCCTACTGAATACATTCCAGAAATATGTTATGTTATGTCACTGAATGGCGTGATATTCAAACTGAGGTATGAAGACTTCACAAATGACAGCTAATGCACATAAATTAGGAGCTAATAACATTCTTCTTACATAAATCATTTGCATTAGTGTCCAAAGACAGACAAAACGCTACACGTTACAGAAACAGACCCTGAATGTGTACAGTACAGTTATGAGGTTCAGCTGGTTCAGCTGTGGCCTGTCAAAATAACTGTGCTTTAATTAAAGGCCTGTTATTTTCTGCACTGTTGACCCAAGGCAGAATGTAATAAATGAGGAGAATGAGAGCAATCTCCTCTGAGCACCACAGTGGCAGAACAGCACAGGGATGTCGTCTTACCTCAGTCCCACAGGCTCTCGGACCGCAAACTTGATCTCATTCCCCAGCATCTGACTGATCTGAGATAGACACGAGGGAGAAAAACGCCACACTTAGAATAATAACACTGTCACATCCAGCAGAAGAGAAGTTCAGAAACAGAAACATCCCGTCTAAATTCACTTCGGATGAACAAAAAGTAATAAATCAGCCTGAAGCATGATGAATTAATAGTGCATGGTGAGTTATCCACAGTGGTGTGGAGCGAATCGTTAAAACATCTTTAATTAAAGTGAAGAAACCTGTTGTCAACGTCTGGTGGCCACCGGTGATTAATAACACAATATATTTAGCATGAAACCCAATTTGATGATATATTAGCAAATGCAGCCACCCACACAAAGTCTCTGATGATTTCCAGAGATTCGCACATTTTCAGGTTTATGGCTGCCGTTCAACGCAGCCTACTTCTCCAAAGCTGTTCAACAAAGATGGCAACACTACAAGGAAATCAAAGTGTTGGCAAACTCCTCCTTTGTTTAATCACCTCTTTGAAAGGTGAGGCTATTCTATCACGACAGGCATATCACACATTCCCTTATGGCTAATTAAAACACTGTCATAAAATATAAGAGCCTTCATTTCTCCTAAAAGAGCATTTTGGTTTCTAAGGAAATATTTTATTTAAAGGGATAGTTCACCCAAAAACGAAAATTCTGTCATTAATTGCTCACCCTCATGCCGTTCCAAAACCTTCGGAACACAAATGAAGATATTTCTAATGAAATCTGAGTGATTTCTGATCCTCCATTGACAGCTACGCAACTACCACTTTGATGCTTCAAAAGTTCCTTAAGAGATCCATATGAATTGAGCGGTTTAGTCCAAATTTTCTGAAGAGACTCGATCGCATTACATGATGAATCATTCAAAGGTTTTGTAATGTTTTTAAATGTTTTTGAAAGAAATATTGTTTTCTATTTAAAGAGTAACTAAACCCTAAACCAACTTTTTTTAGTTAATGATCTGTAAGAATGGGTCTTTATTAATACCAGTCATTGATTCGAGTAACTTTTTTGACATTTGTGTATAAAGTGTTATATTTCTACCATATATGGTGTAAAAACGTCTTAGTGCTGCCCTCTTCAGGTTGAACGGTGGCTACTGCAGTTGAATTTTCCTATTGGATTTTAGCGGTTCTTCGTGATATACACATTTCAGCTCACCACGCTCTTGGTACGAGCTACGCCCTTGGCAGTATAAAAACCAGCATGTTTCGTCAAAACCAGTCAGGAGTTGGAAATCGTCAAAACCAGTCAGGAGTTGGAAATCGTCAAAACCAGTCAGGAGTTGGAAATCGTCAAAACCAGTCAGGAGTTGGAAATCGTCAAAACCAGTCAGGAGTTGGAAATCGTCAAAACCAGTCAGGAGTTGGAAATCGCCAAAACCAGTCAGGAGTTGGAAATCGTCAAAACAAGTCAGGAGTTGGAAATCGTCAAAACAAGTCAGGAGTAGGAAATCGTCAAAACAAGTCAGGAGTTGGAAATCGTTAAAACCAGTCAGGAGTTGGAAATCGTCAAAACAGTCAGGAGTTGGAAATCGGCAAAACCAGTCAGGAGTTGGAAATCGGCAAAACCAGTCAGGAGTTGGAAATCGGCAAAACCAGTCAGGAGTTGGAAATCGTCAAAACCAGTCAGGAGTTGGAAATCGTCAAAACCAGTCAGGAGTTGGAAATCGTCAAAACCAGTCAGGAGTTGGAAATCGTCAAAACCAGTCAGGAGTTGGAAATCGTCAAAACCAGTCAGGAGTTGGAAATCGTCAAAACCAGTCAGGAGTTGGAAATCGTCAAAACCAGTCAGGAGTTGGAAATCGTCAAAACCAGTCAGGAGTTGGAAATCGTCAAAACCAGTCAGGAGTTGGAAATCGCCAAAACCAGTCAGGAGTTGGAAATCGTCAAAACAAGTCAGGAGTAGGAAATCGTCAAAACAAGTCAGGAGTTGGAAATCGTTAAAACCAGTCAGGAGTTGGAAATCGTCAAAACCAGTCAGGAGTTGGAAATCGGCAAAACCAGTCAGGAGTTGGAAATCGGCAAAACCAGTCAGGAGTTGGAAATCGGCAAAACCAGTCAGGAGTTGGAAATCGGCAAAACCAGTCAGGAGTTGGAAATCGTCAAAACCAGTCAGGAGTTGGAAATCGTCAAAACCAGTCAGGAGTTGGAAATCGTCAAAACCAGTCAGGAGTTGGAAATCGTCAAAACCAGTCAGGAGTTGGAAATCGTCAAAACCAGTCAGGAGTTGGAAATCGTCAAAACCAGTCAGGAGTTGGAAATCGTCAAAACCAGTCAGGAGTTGGAAATCGTCAAAACCAGTCAGGAGTTGGAAATCGTCAAAACCAGTCAGAAGTTGGAAATCGTCAAAACCAGTCAGGAGTTGGAAATCGTCAAAACCAGTCAGGAGTTGGGAATCATCAAAACAAGTCAGGAGTTGGAATTGCGAGTATTGAAAACGATCAGGATAGAGTGTTTTAGCATCTATTTCGTCCCCTCTATCTCCGCTGGGGTCTGCCCACTTTTTCAGCATTTCTCAAATATTGCCAGTGGGTGGAGTCAGGCTCCGACCAGGGGTTTAGTAACCCTTTAATGTAATTTATTCCTGAGATTGCAATGCATCATTACTCCAGAAATGTCACATGATCCTTCAGAAATCATTCCAATATGCTGATTTGCTGATCAGAAAACATTGCTAATTATTATCAATGTTCAAAACAGTTGTGCTGCTCAATATTTTTAGTGGAAACAAGACATTTTGATGAATAGAAAGTTCAGAAGAACAGTATTTCTTTGTAAAATTGCAGTCACTTTTGATCAAAAATTAATTTCTTTCAACAAAAAAACAATCATACTGACCCTAAACATTTGAAGGGTAGTAGTGTATATAATCAGCATAACAAAATTTGAGTCAGAACGCAATGATCAAATGCTGAATTGCTATTCTATTGATTTGTGCATGGAAGAAACATTTTAATTTGAGCCACAGCTCCAGGTTTGCTGATTGATGGCATGCTGTGACGGATATGAGTGGGATGTGTTTCTTTTATTCTCATTGGGTGCACATCTAATGTCAATAAAAAGCTCCCCTATGGATTTCCTTAAAGACTGTGAAATAAGACAGAATCGGAGTGCAATAGAGAGATGAGGAAGAGAAAGCGAGCGTGAGAGACATAATGGAGGCAGAGAGGTGGGGAAATAAGCATGCAGAGATAAAGAGAGAACACGCACTATGAGGGCTGCGATTGCGCAGGTCCCCTGTAGATCCTGTCACAGTGATACAGCAGACGCTGCGGCTGGCCTTCATACTGGGATGTGCTAATGACTCGAAAATAAATTTGGTGACTGCCAGAATGTAGATCCCCAGAGCTGTCTAAACAATCACCACAACTTCCAATTTCACCCAAAGTAAACAATAATAAGGATTTGTCCGTTACATCTGATTCTGCCGCCTCTGCTGAGGGACTTTTCAAGTTAATGAAATGACAACACAATACCACAATATCTTTCAAAGAGCAGACAGACGGACTTATTTCCCGGTTTAGAGTGTGAAGAGTGCTGAAAGAGCATGGAGTGAATGACAAGACAAGAAATGCCTAGCTATAAAACACAATGAATAAGTACAATGTAATAGAATGGGGTGCAAATATATCACAAAAGTGATCAAAATAATTTATCTAAAAAAAAAAAAGCGGTACCAAAAGAAGTCCAAATGGCGATGTGTTGCAGTCCTCTGTGGCGTATATAATAGATCAAGATGCATTTGTAAAAGAGGAAATTATATTTTAAATATTTATAAATAGATTTTAGAGCAGTCTACCCCACTCCTACAGTGCTTATCAATGCTATTTATTGCAAAAACTGACCAAAGAACGGTATAAAAGTATTGCTAACAACTTGTGTTGCATTCCAAGTCTTGTGATGTGAAGCCAACTCATATCCTGTTTTACATTATATAATACACAAATGGTTTAGGGGTTGGGTTACGTGCTGAAAATCGTGTAAATAAAAAAAGTCAAATAAATGTAAATAAAATGATGCTAGCTGTTTAAATTGAAAATCACACCCCAACATGTATGTCATAATGGCAAAGCAGCAGTATTCCTCCATTCATGCGGATAAAACTCCCACACACTTCTATATAGAAAAGGTTCTATCAGCGCTACATATTTGGAACCCTTAAAAAGGTTCTATACACTCTTAAAAAAAGGGTTCCTCTGGGTTCTATATAGAACCCTGGGGTTCCGTACTTAGCCAAAAGAAACTTTTACCAAAAAAAAAAAAATGGTTCTATATAGAACCATTTTGGAGTTCCATATATGAAGCGGGGCATGGAACCATTTCTGGTTCTAAATAGAACCATTTCTTCTAAGAGTGCATGTCCATCGCATGTCCATCTAAATTGTTAAAGTGGGATGATAACCTAAGAGGCAATATTAAAAATCCCATTAATGAGTGTTAAGACACCGTATCTACTCTACAGTAAAGTCGGTATGTTCAACTTTAATAGATCTGTGAAAGAAAGTGTGCTGGCTTTCTCAAATACGGTGTGGATCGGCAGCCGCAGCTCCACAGTTCATCAGACGAGTCAGAGCAGTTATATAGTGGTCTGCCTCAAATTATAGGTCGTGATCTTTCCACCATTGATGACATTTATGTCTCATGTTTGCAGAGAAAAGGTCTAGCAGTTCTGAAAGATCTCCAGACAGACACTTCAGGGCCAATTTAAAACTAATTTCACACGTTTTTTTTTAACAGCACTTAATTCTGCTGGTATTTATGCATCTGTATTTCAATGGGATAGTGTGCATGTGTGTTTTTCTCATTCTTTGTAGTTATATGCGTTTATTGTACTGTATTTTAGTGCATGTTATTATTGTTGATGAGCTCACCAAAATAAATTTAGAGCTGTGATATTTCATTAAGATTCACAGCCAGATTTCAGAGCTTTCCCAAAACCGAAAATTGCATTTGATCTGGTGGTTGGTTCTGTGATGGCCATCTTATTCAAGCAGTTCGGGCAGCCGAGACCTT